AAAGCCCCATCCAGCCTGGCCTTGAACACCTCCAGGGATGGGGCATCCACAACTTCCCTGGGCAACCTGTTCCAGTATCTCACCACCCTCACAGGAAAGAATTTCTTTCTCGGGTCTAATCTAAATCTCCCCTCTTTCAGTTTAAAACCGTTACCCCTTGTCCTGTCACTACACTTCCTGACACAGAGTCCCTCTCCAGCTCTCCTGTAGGGTCCCTTCAGATATTGAAAGGCTGCTATAAGGTCTCCCTGGAGCCTTCTCTTCTCCAGGCTGAACAACCCCAGCTCCCTCAGCCTGTCTTCATAGCAGAGGTGCTCCATCCCTCTGATCATCTTCATGGCCCTCCACTGGACCCATTCCAACAGGTCCATGGCCTTCCTGTGTTGAGGACTTCTTTCATCCTGAAAAACACGAATGGCTTAAACAGCTGAGACACAATTAAAATATGTGTTAAGAGAGCAGAAAAGACACAGTCCTCTTCAGGTACTACAGGTTGCCTGGGTATCAGAAGTGTAGGCTATAGTTCAGTGTGTGCTTTACAAACAAATGGAAAACTCTGTTTTAAGATGTATGTCCTGCCAACATGTCCAAAACATCGATTGCAACATTTTGAGAAACTTTGGTGAAATTAGATAAAATAGTAGTGAAATATGTCAGAATTTCTAGGTATCAGAAGCTGTGTAAAGATGATGTTAATTCAGAAATTATGAACAAGTTGAAACTCAATGGAGTTATGATTTCTCATCATATCTTAAATCACAATGGGCTAATAACAGACAATCATATTTGAAACTATTAGCATGTCTTTCAGAGAGGTTAGTGCTTTCTGTCATGTTCTCTGTTCATTTTTTTTTTCTTTTCTCATTGTGCTAGGTTCAAATCTTGATGAGCTGACCAATACTTAAAAAGACACACAGAGTAACCCAAGGGTCATTATTAGTGTATATAAATTTAAGTTAGTTTTTGGATGTTGACAGTCTAGCAAACCAGGCTTATAAAGCAGATTCTAACACAAAGAATAGAAACGGTTTCTATTGCAAACTCAACTGGAGGCTGTTTAAAATATCGATGGACAGCCACAACCAGATAGTCAGTGATAAGAATGGCACTTGGTGTTCAGAGCATCTCCACATCTACTTAATATTTTGCTTTCTGTAAAACATGTTGTCATAACCTTGGTTAATCTCTGTTTTGACTGTGTCTGGCTTTTAGGGATTCAGTGCAGTGCTCTGAAAATCTATATGTTCTGGGTCTTGGAAGACAACAAAGTTAGATTACTTTAAGAGAGTGGGAGACAGATCGGCTTTGGTGAATATATTCATAAAGCTGGAGAAACACAGTGTTCCAGTTCAGCTCATACTACAGTCAGTTCCTGGTAAAGGCAGGCCTTTTCTTGTTAAATATGTAAGAGGTCATGGAAATATTCTTTCTTCTCAGACTTTATTGAATGCTTTAACTAGCACATAAAGAAATTCAATGTTGGGGTTCAGTTTTGGTCAACAAAAATGTATGTCTAAAGTGAAGAAGAGATTTAGATGATAATGAGGTTAATTGTCCTTTTGGTTCTAGATAGGACTCCTGAGCATCATGAATTGATGTTTAAACTGAAACATCTCATTGCAGCTTTAATTGTTGAGTTCCCGTTACGTGTGAGTGCTAGTGCATGGCTGGGTATCACACATATCCTCTCCCGTACAGTCACAGCAGTTTGCTCAGTTTTCATCTGAGCCTTATTGTGCGTTGAACTTGGTGCTAGCCAGCTTGCACCGTAGCTGCTGCTCGTACAAGTTCCTGAGGCACATTTGTATGTTGGGGCTGCTTGCTTTGCTGCTTGTTTGCACATCATCTTCTGCCCAGATGCACCACTTGCCAGTTGTCATTAGTTCCCTAAATTTGCACTTCGAGTTCCCATGTCATGGGAACAGAAACAAGGCAGGTGACTGTGACCATTCTGGCCTGTTGAGAGATCTGTTTCCAGCAATCATAGCTACTATGAACCATACTTATCAATTAGCCTTATGTCAGATGCTGTACTAACACAGGAGGAATAATAACTTTCTTGTTTCAAAGGAGTTTTCTTGCTAGAGGATGAATGAGAATGAAAGCTGACTGCCACAAAGAAGATAGCAGTGATGTGTGTGTAGGATTTGGGTTTTCTTTTGGGTTTCTTTGTTGCTGTACAACAAAGTTATGTTTAAAGCAGGGTACCAGGTAGTTTTGTAAATAATTTCTGTAAGTATGAGGGAGAACAAAACAAAAATACTGGCTATAGAGGCTGGATTTAGCATCTATAATTTCTCTTATAAATGAGAGGTGAGAAGTAAAGTGGGTGTTGGACATAACCTCTGTATATGTGCAGAAAAGCAGTTTTGGTGGTAGGGAAGAGAGAAACTACCTAGTTTGTGAATGTGATTTTTGCATTAGCATTCTGAGTGGGTGTGAGAGTAGTTAAATTCCAGGCATCAAAACAAGGCAGCAGCTATTACAGAAATTTAAGGAGTCATATAGCTGAAGCTGAAGTTTCAGCAGAGTAGCAGGTAGAAGAGTCTGTAAAAAGACTGGAAAAAGCAGTGAGACATATCTGTTGTCTGGAAGTACAGATCTAGACAGATCCCAATCAGATGACAGAAATACTTTTTATCCACTGAATTTCCCCCTTTACTGTAAACACTGTGATAAATCCAATAATAGTGTATTAAAGCGACTTTTTCAGGAGTCTCTGCATAGAGAGTTTGTGGTAAAGGCAGAAGAGTTCAAGATACTGCATTTGTATATTATCTGCGTATTGAATCAGTACCCTGCCTTAACTTATGCTCTTTTTTTTTTTTTTCCCCCTTTCAGATTTTCTATTTTGTACATACATTGTTTTGTATATACTGTATATGATGACTTCGGTGGGCAGTGAACGTACCCGGGGCACTCGGGACAAAATGCAAATTTCATCCACACAGCCAACGCCACCACAGAAACAAGTTGTACAGGTATGTGGTACTGTATAATCTTCTTTGAGTTGGAAGTTAAGCGTGTAATGATATGCATATTTTCCCTAAGTCAGTAAAAACAGAGAAAAGACAGAAGGAAGAATCATGGTCTATTTTGGAAGAGCATGTTTGGGATCTCGGTTTAATGGTGGTAGTAATCCAGCATAGCGTTAAGTTGTTCCTGTATTCTTGTCTCTAAAGGAGCTTTGTGTTCTTCAGCAACATTTCCCATCAGTGAGGAATCCTGTGCCTGTTTTGGGATTTCTGTTCTGTGACCTCAGTGTCCTCAGATCTCAGCTCTTCCATATGCCAGCGTCATGATGCTAGAAGATTTCTGGTCGATGGAGGAATTTGGGTGGGTGGGAAAAGCTTCCTTAGATGCATGCTATGTTCTACAGCATGATTCAGCATCTCTGCAAGTCACAAAATCCTAAACTTCTTACGCACTATTCTCACAAAGTGAAATGAAGGTGGTTGCCTACTACTGGACTAAAATAATTTTGAGTATCTGCAAGATTAAATTAAGCTCTTAGCCCATTGTCTTGATTCTTAGCAGCAGAGTAGTCAAGTTGTGTGCTTGTCTGGGTTACAGAGAGTGCAAAATGTCTCTGCTCCTGGCAACTCATTATTCTCTTGTCAGGTACTTCCCAAAATTGGACCCAATTCAAAAATTACCTCAGTTCTCTGCTGGCAGAGTGCACCAATCTAGAGGTGCTCCCCTGGGAAATTGTATTTTATTGTTTTCTAGACTGATCTTTGACACAGAGGGGCTCCTGTTCTGTTTTGTACAGTATTAATTACGTGAGCACTAGCCCTTATCTCCTTGCATTGCAGTGCTTTGCATAGTGGTGATTCATGCTAATGTCAGGATTTAGAAAGTGACTTTAAACAGAAGAAGTTAAATTTGTTTTTGTTTTATAACACGTAAGGCTGCAGCTGTATAGTGAGCAGCTTGACAGAAGTAGTGGTTTCCCCTTTTTTAACATTTGCAAGACAACAGTGGAGTACTCTGCCCAGGTTTGGGTTCCCTGGCATAAGACGGACATTGGCAGAATGAAGCAAGTCCAGTGAAGAGCTGCTAAGATGTCCAGAGCACAGGATGACTGAGGGGTGGCTGAGGGAATTGGGTTTGTTCAGCCCTAAGTAGGCAGGTCAAGGTTTACGTTCTATTCAGTTACCTCATGAAAGAGTACAGAAAAGATGGAGCCAGACTCCTACCGGAGAGACAGTGGCACAAGTTGGGACACTGGAAATTCCAGCTGTTAAAAGGAAAAAAAAAAACAACCACAAAACATTTACCATGATTAAAGAGGTTGTGGGATCTCTTGTCTAGCCCCAGGCAGTTTCTCTGCTGGAACATGCTCTCAGTGGCAGGTTGCACTGAGTATCACTGGAGGACCTTTCCAGCCTATGTGATCATTGATTTTAAGCATTAGGTCTTACTGACCTCTTTCTGCATTTTGTCCTCTCATTCTACTTCATATATAATAGGTACTGGTTTGGTCAATTCAGGAGAAAAGATGCTTATTTAATATACAGCAGTTATGTTTCAGTGCACCGTATTTGTTTTATTGTTTAGATGGACCTTCCTACTTAGTCAGGCTTTACAGATCAGAAGAAATGTGTGGGATTTTACTGTTTAATCACCACTGATTCATTTTTCTGAATGTAGAATAATGTTGCTTTCCCAAATGGAGATTTCATTGTCATAATACCACATTGATCATCATTTAAGTTATTTAGGGAACTACATCATAGGCTTTTTGCATTCCTTCTGGATAATACAAATACCATTTTATTATAAGGTCTGTCACTTAATTTTGTGTTTTGCATACCTCTGTTTTCTGGTAGTTCAAAGTTGTTAGTTAAAAATTTCCTTCACTCTGTTACACCACAAAGGTAACATATTTTGTAAGGTCGAATGAAGTTTTAGGTGTCTTAATATGATACTATTTTCTTAGTTGCAATTAAAACTTAATTATGCTCTTTTATAGGATACTACAATGTTACTTGTAACGATGGTGCCTTAAAAATAAAGAACCACCACTTGCTGGCAAAAAACAAAAACATTTTGTGACAATAATTTGGTGTTTCTGTAGTAAACACATCTTGTGGTTTTTTGGTTGTTTTTTTTTCTTCTGAATCTTCAATTCCCTTTGGGTGTAATCCACTGGCATAAAAATAAGCAGTATCACAACTGCTTGTGTTTCTAAGCTCTCTGCTTACACAGGAAAACTGAAGATACTTTCACACATTTGATACTGTTAAAAAATTAATATTTTTTTCTTGTTACGTGGACTTGAAAAGAAGTTGGTCTATGGAAAAAATGAATCCTAATGGCTTCCTGTTTCTGATCAAATATGACACCATGTTTCGACAGAAATTACATTGTCTGAATGTTTTTACTCTGGATATCTTTAAAGGAAATACCTTCACTAGTTTAAAGGTTGCCGTGGGCCTGGGGAGGCTGAAGTTGGAGCAAGAAGATGGATCAACAAAGCTTAATTCCTGAATCCAGCAGACTTTGTGTTTTTGCTCTCTGCTGAGTTCTTGGCAGATACCAAGAGTGAGATCCTTCACACTGACTGGGAGGCTTTTGTGGAGGTGGCACCAGGGCTGGCAAGGGGAATTCCGGAGCATGCTCTTCTCTGTGTTGCTGACTGACGTATGAAGTTGTCAGCATGACACTTTGAAAATGTGAAGTAGCACAGAGTACTTAACTCTGTTAAAAACGCTAATTGTCTTGGAACATTGCCGCTAAGCACAGCAAATGTTGCTTCCCTCAAGGAACTGAGACAGCTGCAGTAACTTCTCAGAAAATAAGCAGCTGGTGGTGTATGGTGGAGTAATTTTTAGACTCTTCTCAGCATTTACTTTTGGCGACCTCCTCTAGAGCTTGTATTTCTGGTAAACTTGAAGAGCGAAGCTGTTTGAGGCTGATTAAGTATGAACTCATGAGGCACAGAATTTCACGTGCGTGTCCTGTGAAGTCGACAGGTGAGATTCAACCAGCTGCCCAGGATGAATCCTTTCTGTCAAGAATTTCAGTGGATGAGTGGTCCCCTTCTCAATGAAGAAGTCTTCCGCAGCACATCAGCTCGCATTTCAGGTCCTGGCTCTCTTCAGTATCAGCCTTCTGTAGCACGAGATGGAAGCGTCTTCTGTTTGAGCAGAAATCAAATTAGATCCAGGATCATGTAGCATAGAGTTATCTTTGAGTGCAGTTCCAAGTAGACTGCAAATGCAACACATGAAGATCGGCCTGTATGATGCCATGTTAGTGTTCCTGAGTTGCTTTCTCTCTGGGGCAGCTCCTATGGATTTTTTTTTTTTTTATTTATGGTACTTTACCGCATCTGTTCATTTCAGTCTTTCAGCTTTTGGAGAAGTTGGCAGTATAGATTTGTGGTCCAGAAACGTTACAGAAGCACCAAATATTTCTTCAGTAGCAAGATCCTTTAGCAGTTTTCAGAGACCAGTGTTCACTTATAAAGAAAATAAGTGCAGCTGTTTGTGGCCAGAATCTTGAGGCATGACTCAGTTTCTTTGTAAGTGCTCATAAAACTGCAGAGTCAGATTGTTGTTGGGAGAGTCGTGGAAGGTGAGATGAGCAGCAATCATCAGAGATGCGGTAAATTTAGAAATACTGTTGCCAATTTGTTATGATAAAACTCTTAACTCTGGTTAGACAGTAAATAAAAGTAATCCTATCAAAACGTAGGCTTCTGTGGTAAATTCTATTTTATTATATGGTTGTCTTGTTTATCTGGTGACCTTTTAACTGTGGTTCAAACACATTAGAATGTGTTGAAATTGCTTCTGTCCCAGCTAAGTTTTTAACTACAAAATTGCATAGAGGAGATATTACCCCCTTCCCTATAGCACCTTTGGGCTTGTTGCTTATTTTCTTTTTGAGAATCAGGAGGAAAAAAATATGTTGGCATTAGGAGATAATTTTAAAAATACGTGGTTACCTGTTGTGTATTTTACTGGATGTTTGCATTTTTCAGGCAACAGCAGAACAAATTCGCCTTGCTCAGATGATCTACGATAAGAATGATGCAGATTTTGAAGATAAAGTGAAACAAGTATGTTTCTTACGATACAGAGTTTTTATGCCCTGCTATAAGGTGCTCCAAATCTGGCTTACGTTTTGGAGCTAGAGCATCTGTTTCTGATTTAGATGAAATCTTTTCAGAAGGATGTAAGTTTAACTAGGAAAAGGTGCCCTTATTGCACTGTAAAGTCTGTTTACAAGAAATTGTGTGGTAATGTAACTCTGGTTGTATAGTTACACCTGTGTATTTTCCTTTGTAGACAAGCCTTTAAGCCAAAACTCATCTGTGCTGATGTTTCTTCCAGATTATTTCTTTCTAGTAAGGTCCTGATGCTTAATGATCATGCATTCAGCTTGTCTACATGTACATGCACATAGGAAAAATGTCACCTGTGTAAACTTAATTTGCTAACATCTTGGTTGTTTTTTAGGAAAAGTAAAAATCTAAATCATAGCTTAAAGGTGAATTGAAGTGTTATTTAAAAAATAAAAACCTGACCCCCCAAATCTGTGTATGCATTAAAAATGGTAGCATTACACTGTAAAAATGAAATCTGAAACCATTTCCTCTACTGTGCTGAGTTTCTGGTACAGAATAGCTCAGACTGTTAATTTGAGCAGTACTGAGAATCTGGATCCCTGTTGTGCTGTGGGTATCAGTGATTTTGTCCTAGCGAACACATCACGACTCACGAAGAACCTAGGAGTACACCCAGAAGGAGAGAACAATTAGCATGAATGCAGTATTGCAACAGGGGAGTGAATTTCTTTATTTCTTTTCCTTTGTAAAACCTCCTCTGAAGCCTTCTTAAGTTGTTCTTGTCATAAACTTGTTGTGTTACTGTGCCAGAAGTGAAGTCTTGTACTTCCTGAAGCCAAAGTACCTCCAACAGTAGTGCCTTTAGCTTTGCTGGTGGGCAGAATAAGAAGTTCTGCATAGGAAATCTCTCATATTTTACATTGTGCATGTGTATTTTGAACTCCTGTAGGTTTTTTTTTTTTTTTTTCTTTGAGTGAAGTTGCAGGATATGTCCTGTGACAGACCCTGGTAATTTCCATCCCACACTCCCCAGGGTGTGCACCGCAGCTCCATGGAGTATACTTCAGTACTAGGTCCCTTTAAGCAGCCATCGCTTATGCCTTTTTTGTGGCCTTATGCTAAAATGGATCAAGGGAGCTGATCTGGCTGAAAAATAACCTTTTCTTAGTCTGGATGTTTTTCCACATGGATCTGTTCTCTGCTGTGGCTTACCTTATATCTTTTATCACGCAGTGAGATAAGGAGGGCAATGTTTGATGGGGAGGGAGAGAGGATGATAGTGGAGCTACCCTGGCCTTTTACGTTTTTACCCTCATATACTGCTGTCTCTGGGGTGACAGCTTTTGCTGCAGGGAGAAATGAAAAAAAGAAAAAGGCGCTAAAGTGCTTTCTCTTCACTGCTGTTTAATTTGTGTTTCATCCTGTCCCTTGTCCCAAGCAGATGTGTAAAATGCAGATACTTTTATTTACGGTTTTAGTTTGCTCTGACACAGTAGCTATACACTTTCTTGGAATCTGTGGTGGTACTAACTTTTATTTTCTTATGGTGATAATTTAGATATTTTAACATGTCTGACTTTTGCTGCCAGCTTATGGAAGTGACGGGGAAAAACCAGGATGAGAGCATAGTGGCATTACATGATTGTAACGGGGATGTGAACAGAGCAATCAACATACTGCTGGAAGGAAGTTCAGACACGGTAAGGTTTTATTTTCATGCTAAACTGCTCTTTCTGTTTATTGCACATTTTTACTTCTAAGAAGCGATTGGGAAAGTCATATTTCAGAAGCTTTTGATTTCTGTGTCTCGACATTCAAGTTCTTTTGAAGAACGTGGAGACTGGGGCAGCTTCTCTACTGCATGCATATCTGAGAGTAGGGTGAACATGGAAAATGTTGTGGGTGTTCAGCTGGTATCTTGCAGAGTCCCCTGGCGTTTGTTTACACGCAGCAGTTTTAACTGCAGCAGAACTCGGTGCTCTGTCAGACACGGGCCTGTTTTATGCTGCAATGTTTGTGGTTATTCTGTCGCACCTCCACAACCCTGAGACCTGAGACTGTTTGCCACAAAGGGCAATCTTTATAAACTTCAAGGGCAGGCAGATGTTCTAAGATGCACAACTTCTATAGGAGTGCATTGCCAGTATTGAAGTTGGAGGAGGTTTCAGCATCTGAAAGTTAAATTGACAATGTTACTGATGGCAGAAGGGGATACAGCAAGTAGTTGCTCCTTTCACTGTGTTGCTTATTTGCATGACTTTATTGAAAAACAGGAAGAGGAGACTAAACAACATGTATATAACAACAAATACTGTCATTTAGAATGTTGCATGGAGCAATTTTTTATCTCAAGATACTGCCCCATATGAGGAAAATGCGTCTTGCTGTGGTTGAAGTTTTTGCTGGAGGGACTTCTTACAGTTTATCTGAGGCAGTAAACTAGATTCCGTCTCATCTAAATTGGGAAAGAAACCTGGACTTCCTTTCTTAATGGTGAACATTCAGTATTTCCTGTGATTTGTCAGGATGTGTACTCTGACTTATTGTTACTGAGGAAACTCGCCCCCCACACACCCTAAATCTAAGGACACAGACTGTTCTGACCAAGGGGACTTTCTTTTCTATCCCTTTTTCGTTTATAAGAGTCGGGGTCATCTAAAACACAGAAGTGTGTAATACCGAGTGAGCTAGTAGGGAGTAGAAGAGAGCATCTCACCTTGATTAAATTTGTCTGGGTAATGTGCTGGGGTTTGTTGTCTTTTACTTCTCATGTTTGCCATTTTCTAGTTAAAAATAGCTTTCTGGTTGATGAAGAATGTCACATGCTTTCTTACTTCGGCACATTGTTATAATTGATCAGGACATGGAAGAAGCTTTTTGAACTAATTTATCAATTGGAAGCAACAAATCCATATGTTCTGGTCTTTGGACAAGTCCCTCCTGAACTCACCGCTCTCTGTAGACAAAATTTAACTCAGAAGCAAATGCAGAGAACTTTAAGGGCTCAAGGAGGAAGGAGTATTAATTGAAGGGTCCTCTTCAGAGCATGAAGAAATTTATTCTTCTTCATGGAAGTTTGTGGGGTTCCAACTTGTGGGGTTTTTTAGAGGTGTTATACTCCTGAACAGTTTAATTGTGAATTTGATGTAAAGTTCTGAATGCAGATTCCTCTTTTTCTAGTTTCATTCTGCACTAGAAGTTGGTTTGGGTTTTTTTCATTTGTAAGATCTGTCTATTGAATTTGAAGAATTAGAAGGGCAAGGAGTGATAGCTAGAATGTCTGTTCATAGTTTATTTGGTACTCTGCCAGTTTTGTCTTTTTCATTTTTCTTTTTTTTAATGCTATGATCTTTAAGGCTTTTTGCTATGTGAGTGTTAGTCTTTATGAAAACTTTTCAGTTGCAACAGTTGTGACAGTCTGACTTTGGATAGATATAAAGGCTTGTGGATGAGAGTAGAGAAGGGCATGTTTCTTTGCCCAAGACTTCTGTTCATTTAACTTCCTACAGGTGTAAGATCCATTGTGTGTCCAACCATGTTTTACTTCCTAAACCTTTGAAGACAGAATGAAGGGGAGCCTTCAGATGATTATTCTCTCCATCTAAAATCATGCCAGGAAGAAGGCTTCCTATTTTGGAAGGTCAGGCCTGCAACTGTCATTTGGGTTGTCTCAGGCATCCTCAGCTGAAATTATGATCAGTTAGCTCCCTTACAAAAACAGACAGCTATGATAGTCTGTGGTGGATTCCCATGCTCAGAGGTAGCACCATCCCTCTGTCTTAAAGGACATCCCCAACTTCTCAAGGCTTTCTTCAAAATTGTATTGTGGGAAAGCATGGATCTGATGCTTTCATATTTCTTTTTACTGATCTTTCCCAAGTCATGCAAAACCTCACAGGGGTGAGGCTGCTTCCTCTTAAGCTTTGCACAGTCATCCAGTTTGGGGTATTTCTTAAAATGATGGGGGATCTTTTGGCACCATGTCCATCAATGAAATAGTAGTGCATGCTGAACTCCGTAGGCTTGGTTCCTCAGTTGTCAGTGCAGTTATTTTTCCTGCTGTGAAGCGTCTCTAAAGCTCTATGAGTGTTGTAGTGTATAATGCAGTTATACAGGCAGATGAAGCTGTCTGATAGTTACTGGAGGAAACAGTTCTCTGTTGCACAAATAGGATGGTGTTGCTCAAACACACAGTTTTGTACTTCTAATCCACACTGGCTGTGCTTCACCTACATAGGCTTTAGGCAGTGTAGCCTTCTATACTGAAGATGAAATTGAAAAGTGATTCCAGCCTTCTTCCTCACCTATGCTGTGGCAAAAAATGAGAGGGTAACCATTCTCTAGTACTTATTCTCTCAAAGGAGACACTGACATGTTGAGTTTATGCTTGGAAATGGCTTTGTTACCTGCTTTCTCAATAGCATTAGTTTTCTCAGTTCTAGGCAGTTTGGACTAGCTGGTCATTGCCTACCTTGGAGGAGCTTTCAAGTTGCTGTTGTCTGAATTGAGAAGTGATAGTGCAGGATACAAATACTGATAGCCAACCTTTATTGTTTGATGCAGGTGCCTGTCAGAGGTCATGGCTTTAGTGCTTCACAACTGATGCCCCCTTATTTGCATATGCAAATTTCCTGCTAAAATACTTTACTCCTAGTGATTGGGACATACATATAAATGTATCTGCCATCTTAATGGTTTGTGAATAATACCTTTCTTCTTTGCTTTGCAGCTATGGCTCGATAGACTAACCATGCAATTGCATAATATATGAGGTGCTGTGCTATTCTTAGCAAGTGTTGTAGTCATTTTATTTTCAGATCCTACAGATACTCCTATGGAGCCAATATGATCCCTGAATTTATTTTAAAGATGGAGATGAAAGCTGAAGCGTGATATTTGGACCTTGGTCCCTAGTGTTGTTTAGACGTAGTTTTTCCTGTATTTTACTGTGTGTGTTGAAATGTAGGTGTTAGGAGTGTATGGTCTGGCTTATCATGGCTTCAGTTTTTCCAAACTCTTGTTCTGCCATTCTGTCTCTTGGTGCTTGAATTTTAGCATGTCTGGATAGTGGTTTTTCTCCTGCCCTTCCCGTTAGGCCACATACATACTTCAATCCGTCTCTTGTTCAATGATGCTTATAAGTATTTTTTAATTTCCTTGGGAGAAAAAGATAGCTCTGCGCATCCTCCCTTGCTAGGTTATCAAGGTAGTTTAGAGGGAAACTGTTGCTTCCTTTGCAGATTTTCTGCGTATCTAGATTGTATCTAGGCTTCCTTGCACTGGAAGTCTGTTATATCCAGAAATATTTGGGATTCTTGCATTCCATAAGACAATCCAAATTCTAAAACTTGGTTCTTTATCATCTCTTATCAAAAAAGAGCCTGTGTTTCCATTTGTATCAGGGTAGTTTGCGAGATATTACCTATGTGACGTTATGCAAATATCTGTTTTTTTTCCATGAAACGGAGGGGTGTGAGGTTGAAGTATGGATTGAAAGACCTCTCTTCCTTTTTGACTTTTGTATCTAATTCTATTCTACCCAAATAGACTTCTTGGGAGACTGTAGGGGGAAAGAAGAAAAGCCTTGGAAAGGAATGTTCAGAAAACAAAGAGAACAGAGAAAAACGAGGGGACAGAGAAGTGAGTCGTGGACGAGGAAGTTCCAACAGAAGGGGAAGAGGAGGCAGCCGTGGCCGAGAGTGTACGTATAGGGGTTCATTTTTAAAGATTCAGACACTTTTATTGCAGGTTAAACTGGCTGAGTTGAGAGCAAATAATTAATGAAGTAAAGTCCATCTGAGCTATAGCTCAGCTCTGAAGGGATCATAACTTGTTTGTGTGACAGGTGTGCTCGATCTATGTGACTTGGATTTGGGATGGTCTGTGCTTGTTCAGAGACACTAAGTTTAATTTAAATTTCTATCCCTTCCTGCAAGATCAATTAATCAAAAAATTGTTATTCTTTATGTAAATTTTAGAATTTACTCTTTGTAAGATTGCTTGACAGCCAGTATGTTGCTGCACAGCTGTAGACTGTTTCTTTTAATGAAAAAATTATCCAGCTTTGACTCCATCTCCTTTTATGAGTGGGAGAACCTGAAGATGGTCTTATCTTCTCATAAGGGGAATGAAAAGACCCCCATCATTATTAATTTCTAACATGTATTACGTAAGCCAGCCAAAGGTGAGTTTCTACTGTGGGAAGTTTCTTTGTGAGTTGAAACATTTAAAAATTTGCTACAGAGTATGCAGGTGCAATGATACATCCTACTAAAGCAAACTGATGTTTCCAAGTTAGGTACCATCACATTAGATTACCATTGGTTAATTATTGCTTTTTTCATTTAAGTTTTATTAGCAGTGTCAAAGCTGTACACACTGCCTGTAAGAGCCGTAGACAACACTGGCAGATGAGCGGAGAAACCGGAATGAAAACAAATACATTTAGCTTTTCACTCACAAGCAGGAAAAAATATTTACAATATTAGCCAACTCTTCTAATTCATTTTTGGAATATATTCAAATACTGTGCCAGTGAAGGCATTGTGAATATTTTTAGAATACAGTGGCATCAAAATAGGAAAAAATATTAATAAAACCTGCAGCTATGCTTAGAACGAATCAAAATCAAATCCATCAAAATGACAGTGAGGGGCAGCATTTTTGCCAGAGCCAGATGCTGCGTGTTTCTTTTTGAAAACTAGGATTAAAGATTTTTCAGGTGGTTACGAAATATTGATGTTCTTTTCCCAACTTTATGTGCAAGCATTAATGATATTGTTGCTGTCGTTAAGAGAAGTTGTGCAGTACAAGATCTCAGCAGTGTTTTAAGTGGCCAGTCTTTTTGTTTTTCCCTTCAAAGAGTACATCTTACAGAGTACCTACTTAGGAGTACATCTTACAGAGTACCTCCTTAGGAGTTTTCTACATAATAGTTAAGTTGCAGTACTTTTCTAATGCCACAGCTTCACCAAGTTGTCATCCCTCTGATTTAAATACACAGGAGACTTCTTTTAAATTTCCCTGATTGTACAGAGATGTGGTCTCGGCAGACAGGAGAAGAGCTGGTGTTCTTGGTTATCTCTTATTCTTTCACTGTTGCCACCGGTGTGTTATCAAGGAAGTGTAGTATGAGGCAGCTGTATTTCCTACCTTGTTAAAGAGATGAGGCCATAATTATTTTAATAGTGTAGGCTGCAAAATACTGCACTTTTTTTTCTTCCCCCCCAAAAAAAACCCAGAAGCATGCCTGCTGAGGGACGTTTCCCTCTTGTTAGGTATTTTATTTCTGAATTATCTAGTGCAAAGTAAACATAACTTGCTTGTAGCTATGCCCCTAAAGAAGAGTGACTGAGATCTATTGACCAACCCACTTCAAAATCTTGCATTTTTGGAGGGGGAGGAGGTTCAGGTTAAGCAGATGGCTCTATTCTTGCATGTATGAGTGTCTAAAGCTTCTGTTAAGCTCTTCTCTCTCCACAGTTAGAGCTGAAGAAAATGGAGTGGACAACAATCAAGGAGACAGGCCTTCAGACCGTGGGAAGCGTGGCCGTGGGAGAGGTGAGGTGGTGACATTGGTTGGGGACTGGCACTGATTTCATGTCCTGAAGTGGAAGTCTCCCATATATTTTTCTAAACAGTCCTTTTACGCATTTGTTGGTTATCCTTTGATTCCATAAGCACTTCAGCTACCTTTAACTTAGGTACATGCCCCTTCTTTCCCCTTTCTGATGTCTTGGTCTCAAGAACAACATAAATTAATAGATAAAAATCATGTTTCTGTTAATCTGTATAGCAGGCTGGTGTGCTCTGGCTATGGAAAGTGGTTTTCCCAGATTGGCCTCCTGGGAGTGGGAGTACACTGGGCTCCTCAGAATGTACCTTGGCAGCAGGAGAGTGCAAGATTCCATCTGTAGGGTTCTCGAGGAAGGGATTTGATGTGTACTTGTGCTGGTTCTCTGAGGTGGATCAGTTGTCATGCTTGCCTTCTGTTGTCGGTACCCAATCAGAGAAAGTACAAGCCACTTTAAAGGCTTTTGGTAAGAGAAGGAATTTGGTGTGAAAAAGTTTATGAAGAGAACTGTGGAAAAAGAATACTGTAGAGTGCTAGGTACAACTCTGTTCCTATCCTGCAGAAGAGACAGGAAAGTTGTTGATAATGGATTTGGTGTGGTATCAAGGGATGCGTAGTTGGTTTGGATTTTTACAGGTTGGAGTGGAAAGAGGCATATTTTTTCTCAGAGCAACGAGTAACCTAGGTACAGTGCAGATTGTGTGGGAAAGTGGGTATTAAATGAGTCAAATTGATTCAAAAAGTGCAGAGTAAAGCTAATGTACTTCATAAGTAACATTGTGAAAAATTCTGCCTTCAAATTGTTCTCTTCTCTTTGGAGTATCTTGTTGGGGCCTTAGCGATACTGAATGAATACCACCTTGTGAACCAAGGCCATGAGCTAAAACTAAAGGATACAGTTGTAATTTAAGTTAGCAGAAAAGTAAGAAAATGTGGATGGGAAAATGCTGATAGCAAGAATAATATGCATATAGCATCTTTTTAGACTAACCAATCACTTAAGGACTAAGGGCGCGTGGACAACGCGTGCTACCCAATCAAGCTTGCTCTATCTTGCGTGCTCGGCGCGTGATCGCGTGTGCAGGAAAACAGAATATATAAGAACGCAGCCTGATTAATAAAGTTGGATTTGAACTTGCATCATACTGGTGCGTCGTTCCTTCCCACTCGCTAGAACGGCGCGCAGCAGTATCTAGTAACAAGGCATTCAAAGACAGGCACATCCAACTTCATTTTCTCCAGATCTGCATCTTGAAGAAGTAGAAGGATGTAGAGGCACGTAGCTTCCAGAGGTTTGTGAGAATGGCTTGGTTGTGCCTGTGAATCAGCAAATACCAAATGGTGTGTGCAGAGAGGTAGCTATGCAGGAGAGTGTGTGGTGTAGTTCACAGCTACAGGTTTTGGTCTGGTAGCACTGTTGTTAGATGGACTGTAAGTCTTTTGGCATTTGTTTTATGAAATAATCCTTTATACTCAAATATAAAGGTAGGATTTTTTACAAATTGTTGCGTGAAACTTACAGGTTAATTTCAAATGCAGTCTATTTTTTGCTGCGTAACCTTTGGCTTTTATGGTCAACGCTGTAGCTCTCAAGATGAACATCATATGTCTCAAGCCCAAGCCAAATTATCAGATCAAACTAACGTATCTGACTGAAAAAAGAACAAATTCAACCAATTTCTGTTCACTGGCTTAGTGTACATAGTATTACTGTATCTCTCTAACAAATATTTTAGACTGTGCGTCCATGTGAGTAAAGTATCTTAATGAAGTGTTCTCAAGTCTCTGTGATAAACCTATTGTATGACTTGAGGATCATTATATTACAAGGGTGTGTATTCTGTGGCAGGAAATAACTAATTTAATTTTATAATGCAGGCCCTTGAAACCTGCAGGGAGTTGTATAAAGCTGTGTAGTTCACTTCTTAGTATTTCAGGGATATATGACCTTCATTCTCTGGATATTACTAGAAATAATACAAGAAAACTTCCTGCCATTTCATTTGGTAGTCTTCCTGTTCTGTTACACAGAATAGTTAAGTATGGGATAAAGTACTTCAGCTGAAAGTAAATAGATGGCTGGTAATCACCACAGAACCCTTTTTTAGAAATGTTTTCATGCAGAGTGTGTGCATGTAGGAATTTATGCATTGGATACAGAATTAGGGATCAGCTAATATCTGAGCAACGCACTGTCTCGCTATTTTAAACTACCTTCTCAAGCTGGAGTTATCTTGCTGGCTGCTTTCTAGGGGAGTATTTGCTGGGAGTATTACTGCTTCTATGTAACCAACCTTATTTTAAGAAATGATGAGCACTGAAAATAGCAGAAATGGGATTGACATTGGGGTGCTAATGTGCTGTTTAGTGAAGGGGGGGGGAACCCTGATACTGAGCATTTCAGCATTGGTGCTGTAAGTACTAACTTCATGTTGCAGTAAATCTTTTAATGAATGCGTGACATTCCTTGTAATTTTATAGGGTAGTAGGTATACAGTGTATGAACACCACTAGTTGCTGGTATGCAGGAGATCAGGGATTTGAAGTAGATATGTGTTACTGACTGTTTAACAGAAAGCAAAAACGCATCACAGGTTGTGTTTCAGGACGCATCCCAGTTGTGTCCCAGTTGGAGCTGCTCTTATTCTTAGCTTGTAAAACTGAGGGTGTAAACTTTTGCTTAGAAAGGAGTTAAGGAATTAATTTTTTTAAGATAGCCTTCCCATGTATCTTTCTTTTTGGAATTCAATTTCTTGAATAAGCTTAATATGATATTAAAAAAATACTATAATGGTGGTGATGGATAGTAGTTGCATCAAAGTAGTTATATTTGTTTGTCAGTATTGCCAGGATTTGTAACTGTCTGGAATGGAATCTCGTGAAACAATTATGGAGGAAGATGATTATGTCTTTATGATTGTCACTTCTAGAAAAGTTTCCTGATTTGCATTTTAATCAGCTGCAGTTAATTTGTATATTGACAGAAATTACAGGCCTCCTTTTTGTTGCTGGTACTGGGAATACTGCATTTATGGGGTGTGAGGAACAAGCAGACTAGGACTTCGCCACCTACAAAAGAGTGGGCTAAGTGGGTGTATGGTAGAGATCTGTAAAATTTTTGCAGAATAGGTTCTGTGAGGAAATCAGCTGATCACTCCAAGCACATATGTGAATGCGGGAGTATTAAATTAAATCAGTAGGTTACAGGTTCAAAATGAACTTTCTGGAGGTGGTTCTTCATAAATGTAGTTAACCTGAGGAATTCCTTTCTATAAGTTGTTCTGGGTGCTGAAAATTTACACAGAGAGACTTGACAATTTAATCCTAAAAAAGAAAAAACCACAGCAAGAAAAAGAAAAACCACGAAAGGTTTTGATGTATGTAAATTATCTTTGACTGAGGAAGTCTGAGCCACATAACGGTTGAAGACCAGGAAAATATCCAGGGAAACTGCTCTGTGTTTTCAGTTCTTGTACTCTTCTCTAGATATCTAATTGACGATAGCTGATAACGGGATAGCAGGTAGATAAGAATTTTAGGACTTGATACAGCATAGAAATTGTTACAGATTCATGTGTAGCAGTTCTCCTGGTTTGCAGAGTGAAAATGGATTTGTCGCTTTTGCTTCTGTTCCTCTATTCTCTTCCTCTTCGTTCTTGCAGAGCAATGTGAGCATGCCATAATGCGCGTGCTGACAGGGATTTTTTTCCTAGCAAAACAGGAATAAGCATGAAAGGGTAAAACATTATGTTTTAATTTTGGACTTAATCGTCATGACCAGGAGCCTTTCAGACTCTTGCTTTTTCTGCTATATAGGAAAGCAAAGCAGCTTGCCCTTTTTGCAAATATCTGACTATAGTCCATCTTGTATTCTTGATACCTTTTTTTATTTTTAAAATGTTTTTTTGGGAAGTATGCTGACCCTTAAAAAAAATGAGCTTCAGTAACCAGAATTGCATGTCTAAACATTTTCTTGTTTTAAAAGCTTAGCACAGTTGGCACAGGATGTATTTTGGATTTCCTTTGCCAGAATTAGTAAGGATGTTGGTTTTTCTGAAACATCAATGTAGAGCAGACCTTCTGGAGGTCACAAACTGAAGTCTGTTTAGTTTTGCTGCAGCTGGTTCTGCAGTGGTTAAGATGTGTGTGTCATGTAAATTTGTCTTTTTGATAGATGAACCAAAATTTATTTTAAACATAAGTTATTTTCTTTTAAACATGACTTCAGAGTTTAAAGTTTTCTGTGCATGCTTCTAAAAATGGTTACCAGAGTACATGCAGTATATAAAAATGATTCAATGTTTCTAGCTTTATGATGACTAATAAGAGTGATTTGAAATATTAAATATAACTTAGTGTTTGTTTTGGTAGTATGGAATACCTAGAATACAAACTTGCTATACTTAGCCTCCTTATCTTTTCATAAGGCTTAAGCCTCTGTCACCTCAGTGTCTGCTAGGAAGATATCTGGCTCTGCGTTTCCAGAGCAGAGTCCAGGGCTGTTCAGTTACTGTGTGGTCAGAGATAAGCACAAATCTAGGGTGTTGCCTGCCCTTCCAGTCTGCATTTCCTTTTCCTTTGAGCTGCTCTTAGTCCTTTTTCTTAACCTTAAAGTGTCTTCATCTAATTTAAACCTGTCAGTGTGAAAATCTGAGTTTTGAAGTAAAACACCTGTGTTGTAGCAGGAAGGATTTAGGTCTGCAAGCTCAGCAAACTGGATTTTCTACAGAAGAGGCTGTAAAATTAATGGCCTAGGCCCACCCAAGTTGTGGCATTGCACGCTTTTCTCATGCTCTCATGTGGTGTGAGTTTTTGGGGAAGAAATGTTGTGAATGAGAGGACCGTGCATGGATGGTAAAAGAGTAAAGACTTAATCTTGCGATTATGGCTGTTTTGAGCTCCCAATGGAGGAGTGGAAGCAGAAAATCCCACCACCTGCCTGGGTGTAGTGTTAACTTCTCTAGAATTCATTCCAGAAAAGAAAAAGGTAAATTGCATAGGTGATGGCTAATGTGAAGACAGTCAACTGAGGGAAATCTGCTGGAGAGCAGGAAAAAAATCCCTAACAATAAGCAGTTGAACAGTTACAATGTTAAAGGAAACCAAACATTCCGTAAAGCTGATCAGAATCAACTATAAACATAGTTCCCCGGCCTGGTTTCTGGAGCAGAAATGAGTTAGCAAAGTTGCCTTGATACTTTAGGCAGCTTTTGTACATCCACGTGTAAAGGAACATGAAGAAATGTTGTGAGGGTTTGTATGAGGCAGTGATTTTGTTCTTTGCCTGATGTCCTTCATTTGCTTTTGTGCTCCATGTGCTGATGGATTCTAAGAAAGTCTATTGCCAAGTCACTTGTTCTGTTTTGTGGGTAGAGGAAATAAAATTGTTGATGGAAGAATTGTGGATTTTGGATTACCTCAGGAAGTTATTTTTTTTTTTTTTTTTTTTTGGTAAACATTACCGTTGCATTCTAAACTACATATACACATCTTTTTAGAGTAGTGTTAAAATTATACTTTTTATGTTACAAGCATAAACTGGCATTACTGCTGGGAGGAACTGGTCCTGTCTGTCTCCTGGTGCATTTGAGGATTGATCTTATTTTAAAACTAACAAAACCAAAAAATTAAAAAGGTGGAAGGCAGCATGGTAGCAGGGGACAACAAGTTTTTTGATGGCTTATCCTGGTGTAAATAAAGGTGACCAGTTTTCTGACATTTAACAAGCAGCAAACTGGTTTGGAGAGCTGATCCAACAAACGAACTAATGATTTTGTTTTCTGATGGTGGTTTTGTGCTTGTTCACTGGAATGTGCAAAACTGTCAATACAGAAAGAGCAGAGCTTGTGATGACTGGTGAGGAAGACCTTGATTGCGCTAGCTCTGATTTAAATGGGTTGAAGTTACTGTGGGATTGCATGCTCAGAATTTGGGTCCCTGCTCTGAATTTGCTCACTAGCATTTTAGTCGCTGTTAAAAAGCATCAACAGGTTGCAAATACCTGACGGGCATTCATGGTTGCCTCATGACTAACTTCTCTGTGTTAGAAGACTGTGCTTCTAATTGTTTTAAAGGCATGTTTTAGTTTTGGCAGCTGAGAGAACTAACTTTCTTAGCATGACAATTTAAGAATAAATTAGTGATTTGGTTGTGTCAAAGAGAATATCATGCCTTCCCACTGGCATCTTGTGTTAATGACCATCATGTATGAGATTTTTAGGTGCAAGTTAGAGTGGTCTTTTGGTGGTGACTAGTCACTGTCCCGTATTTTGAATTAGTTCTTTGTAGGCATATTTTCTAGCTGTGAATTGAGTGCTTCCTAACCCCACTGGTTTCATACTTCACTTTTGTCTTCATTAGAATGCTTTTTGTTGCATTTGTTGATTAAACTTAATTTTAATTCTGACAGAAAGCACAGACATAGCTTTATGAACTTAAGGGAATCCACTTTAAATTCAGGTTCAGGATTAACTTTCCAAGTGATCTGGTGTAAAAAGTGTCTTGCTCGCTAGTTGTATAAGACTGTACATGGAACTTCAGGAACAACGTGATTTCTTTTTAGCAATTTCTGAAATCGTTAGAGGTTCTTATTGCTGTTTTTAGGCAGTATTATTGTGCCTGTGCTGTTATGGCATTTTACATATGCCTTTCTTGCTAAAACTTCAGTATCTGTTCAATACGCTAAGGTTATTCTTTCAGGCTTTTGCACTTGGCAGGCTGAGGAGACTTACCCCCTCTTCTAAGATCTATTTGTACTTTCATGCTAGCTATCCCAGCAAATCTGTCTGTACCTAATGTCCGCCTCACTCCAAAATATTTCTGCTTGACTGTTTCTGTGATTCACAATTCCCAATAGATCTTTTAGCTGAGCTTATCAATAAACTGTTGATCTGCGTTCTTTGCATCACTAGTAAGTGTTGTTTAATGCTGTATTGATAGCTGTAGGAAGCAATTTATTACATAGGTGATCCCTACCGTGTCCCCAAGTAAACTTGTTCAGCTGGTTCTATTATTAAAAAAAAATAGTTATTTACTGGGCAGAAACATAATCCAGAGTGCACCGACTTCTGAGCTTCTGAGAGCTGCAACCCTGTTATGCCATGGATGAGCTTCCCAGACTGGGGATTTTAGGTGGGAGAAGAACAGAATAGGTGGCTGAGCAAGGAAGTTCAGAGGCCAGGTTACCTTCAGTTGTGCAGCAGCATCTGGGGCACTGTTGTGTATGGCACAGCAAAGAGCACAGCTTCACGTGGGCTCAGTGAAGAGGGATGGTCATTGCCAGGTTGCAGCTGTTGTTCCCTCTTTTCTACCCTTTGTCTGTCCTTTCTCCAGCCAATTGTGAAAAGACAGCAAAGAGGGGAAAACGTAGATATAGCAGGCCTGGCCTAGTGTTAGACCTCAGTTCTTCTGTGTTCTTGTCCTACCAAAATACTGTATCCTTGCTATCCTTCCTCTTCCAGTTTTCATTGTTCCTCTGTAGCTAGCAGTTGTCATCTTGTATAGGATGTGGTTAAAGTCTTTTATCAAAAGGTGAGTAAAATGATCCTGCTATTTTGATGCTTCTAAGAAGCAGGTAGCAGGCATTTCAGAGGTCCAGAAACATGTTTTAAAACTTGAACAGTGAACTAGGACAAGGGGAAGAATGACTGGTGAGGGGAGGGAAAGGAAAGTCATTAAACCAGGAACTTCCTAAACTGGTTTTACCATGTGCTAGAGCTACTGTTCTTATTAGGTTTAGGTGGTCCCCTGAAAAAAGGGGTAATTTTGATCCAAATTTGAACAGCCTATTATGGGTAATTCTGATGTGTGGACAATCAGTGTGTTGGTGATTTAGGATTATAACTTTTGTGCTCTGCTAAATCTGTAGTTACTTGGTGACTCATAATTACTTTGTTCTCAGTCTGCAGCTCCTGACCTCCTCCTGTTCTTATAATATGAAATAATATTCATAGTCTTCTGTTGTGGTTTAACCCCAGGGAACAACTAGGACCACACAACTAATTGCTTGCACCCCACCCCCGAGCCCTGAAGAGTAAGGAGAAGAGGGAGAGAAGGAAGAGGGCAAAAGAACCTCATGGATTCAGATAAAGATAGTTTAATAGAACAGTAAGAGGAAAATAATAAATAATAATGGTGGAAGAATTTGCAAATAGGGCATTACAACACAAATCACTCTCACTACCTGGTGATTGGTTGCCCAGCCTGTCCCAGTTGGTGATCAGGGATCCCTGCCCCCCGACCACCCTCCTTTTATGTTCTGAGCATGATTCTGTGGTACGGAATATTCCTGTGGCCAGCTTGTCCTGTCTATCCTCCCTCTCAGCTTCTATGGGAAGCTGAAAAATGTCCTTGACTAATGTAAACATTACTTAGCAGCAACTAAAACAATATGTGTTATCAACATTCTTTTCATACTAAATCCAAAACACAGCAGTTACCAGAAAGAAAATGAATTCTGTCCCAGCTGCAACCAGGTCATCAAAAGAGCCCAACAAACTGTAAAAGCCTCAGATATTGAGGTCCTAAAAAAAAAGAGGTGGGATTGGGGAGAAATCTCTATAGAAATATGCCTTATGTAAAAATTAGTTTCTAACAATTTATGTAGATGTGTGCATTATGGATGGTTAAATAGCACAAAGGTCTTCATGCCCTTTTGGCACTATGCAACATGCAAAAATAAAGGAGTTCACTATATCAAGAAAGTTGACAGATAAGGCTGGTAACCAAAATTGGAGGAAACAAGTATGTGCTGTTGTAGAAATTATTATTCTTGTGGGTGATAATAAGACGTTGAGTAATTAGAACTGGGTGATTTTCATGTCAGTAAGTGTGATTTAGGGGGAAGCAGAAGGAATGTGTGGTCGCAGGTTGGCACATAAGCATTGGGGTGGACAGGAGGGCTAAGTCAGAGAAGGAAACACATGGAGTATTTAAGCTTTCTCCTCCCAGACGAGGAGTGACAGGAAATTTCTTGAGAGATCAGGGTATGCGGGGAGGCTGGATTCTAGAGCATCTTATGCAAGAAAGAGAAAGTAGAGCCAAAGTTTTGAACATTGTCTAATGATTTGGCAACAGCAGTTTCATGGGGGATGGGTCTTTAGGTAAGTTCTTAGCGTTTGGAACTACTTCACTAGGTACAGAAAAGGTAGCAAATAATTGCAAGGCCAACTGAAACATGTAGTCTTAGATGAAGTGTGGCTTACTTGCGTGTGTTAGGGAAACAAATTCTCCTGTGAGGAAATTTGGGAAGCAAATGGTGTTTAACTTTAATTATGGTAGTTTTCTTCTTCAACCCTAGTATTTTCTAATGTGACAGACTAGTGATTGGCGGCTCCTCTGCTGTTGCTGTTAAATGGTGTTTTCTCTCCTAGGGTTTGGACGTGGCAGAGGGAGAGGAGCGGGGAGGTTTTCAGCCCAAGGCATGGGGTAAGAAACATGCAGAGCACAGATTTTGTCAAGGATCAAACTCAGTGGCAGTATTAATTAAGAATATTAACATTGCCACTGTATCTATTAATATTGCTGTATATTTGATAAACCTATATGGATGCAAAAATTCAAAGATCTGCTAGATGATTAATGGATTATTTTTGTCTTAAACCAGTATTTCTAACTAAACAGAACTATACAAACCTAATGTAAGACTTCATCCAGTGTTACTATCTCAAACTTGGAGAACCTGTTTGTGTCTATCAGTAACAGCCACATAGTAACTGGGAGGCTGAAAGTTCTGTATGGTGCATATAGTCCTAGGTCATTTTTAAAACAGATTTGTTTCGGTGTAATGTGGAACATGAAAGTTCTATACAAAACCAGAATATCTTGCAATTGTAAACTTTCTCCTCCTTTGGAGATTTCATGCTTTAGCTGTTTGGACATATATGGACCCTAAAACAGAATCAAAAGAAGTTACTCAACAACTCTAAGGCTTGTTCTCAATTTTGTTGGGATAACCTGCTTCATAGAATTGTAGCCTCTACTACTTTCATTCAGTGTTTGCCTTCTATGACATTTCATGTAATGTCAGTGATGTCGTGATAAACAGAAGGCATATTCTACTTCTCTAATAATTGCCATACTTCTAGATGATAAAGTGAAAAGAGGTTTTTCTTCAATAATCCTTTTTCACCTTTTAGCTGCATCTGTGTATTTTGGCATTGGTGTCAGGAGTGCATTCTGAAATTATCTTATTGATGTTTTGACTCCTGTCCTGTGCAAGTCTGGTGCTCTGTGAAAGGAAATGATACTGGTTTCTCATCAGTCAGCCACCTGCTGAGAAACTATCAGCTGAGAAGGGCTTATCGTTGTGCATATAAACTAATGCTTTATAGGACTGGGAGGAGTAGGTAAGCTGTTAACTGCTTTTCAGGAGTTGTTGTTTTGATTCAGTTTCTCTATAATAATTTTTTTTCAGTCTCCCCACTTTTTTTCTCCTTTTCTCTTTTCTCCCTTCTTTTATCTGTGTCTGCTCATAGAGGAAAAGTTTCTTTTGAAACCAAAGCTATCAAGATAAATTATGTGGAAATCAAGATGTTAAATCTGATACAACTTCAGCTAAAATGATGACACTTGTGTTCATTGAATGACCCGTGTGTTCTCTTCCATTTCTTAACTTTTAAAACTCTAGGACATTTAACCCTGCAGACTATACGGAATCTTCTGCCACTGATGGCTTTGGGACAAAATCAGAGATTTGGGAGACTGGTCAGAATGATGCAGATGATGGAACTGGTAAGATGCTTCAAGAAGTGGAAGGATTTGAATGAAGACCTCTAGCAAATTGCAGTTAAAATAGTCATTCCGTTAAGTGTTCAGTTGACTACTGAAAATGTGAGTATATCTCACATGACGTGGATATTACAGCTTAACTGCTACCCATGTGCAGAGCACGTGCTGTAGCTTGAGTGACTGTCTGGTTAGAATGAAGGGAAGGCAATTTGCAATTTCTTTTGTTTGAGGACTAACAATCCCTTGAGAGACAAAGGGATTTGAACAGTTACTGGAAGAACCTTGTATGTGAAGAACTATTTAAATATCTTAAATACTGCTTAAGAGCTCACCTAATGTAGTTAAAGACTTCAAATCCTACTAAAAGTGATTGGTCCACAGGCACTGGGCAATAGAGTGTGAATATCTAAGTAGAAGAAGAAAAGAAAAACTGTTTTCAATTAATTCACTCAGCGACACTGGGATGGCCTTGGAAGCCCCACCTGTACAACACAGAAATGTAAGGATGTGAGTCTCTGGGATGGAGGCGAATTCCAAGATGTGCCACCTTTGAAGAGAAGAATTATTAACTAAAGTATGCATAGACACTTGAATGGAAGCCAAAAGAGCAGTCTGCCTGTCTGAAGATAGAGGCAGCTGTGTGTTCCTATATGAAGTTTCAAGTGTGAATTACACATGCCTGGCTAAAGGCAAGAGACAGAAGTAGTTTGAAAAGGAACCACTTAATGGTGGTCTTGCGGGGATTCAGAAATGAAGAATGTGACCTGCCTGTCTGTGACTGGGAAAACAGGATGCCTTGCTGTTTCCCATATTCTGTGACAGGAGATGAAGACAAAGGAAACCCTGTGTCAGGACAGAGAAGTTAATATACATTATTGTCCACATGTAGGAACCACGGAGAGATACTTTATTTTTTTTCTAGCTTCAGCAAAGGGTAACTCTTCTGGTCTCCTCATTGCTGAAGCTTACTCAGATGATTTTTCATCAACCCCTGTATCAAGTGTAGAAGGAAAAGACTGAATCTGGAGGCCAAGGTGTGCTCTGTTGAGCTCTGCTGTGAGACGCTTGAGATGCAGCTTTCTAAACTTCATACAAGCCTTTTTCCACTTAAACAGAGAAAACAAGAACAGGCTCAGAGTTTAGAAGGACTTCTTAGGCAGCTGTATTGTCACTCTGGGTAACTTCTAGTCCAGTGTAGGAGAGTGGCACTGAGTGTATTCATGGCCACTGAAAGGGAACTCTTTTGCCAAATGTGGCATCCTTCCAAGGAATTACTTCTGAAATTGCTTGGTGCTTTAGCACAAACAGAAATTCACCTTTACTTTCATTCATACTAGTTTTTCAAATAGTTTTATCAGGTAATGAGCTAGAAGGACACCTAATGACTTGAAAATTCCCCTGGGAATACTGATACTATTGTTTGCTATATGGTAGTGGAGGGCAGGTTATATTGGCACAAGTATTGAAGAAGCAGTAAGGTTAACTAATTAAAGAAAGAAGACAGACAAGGCAGGCAGGAGATTGGACCAGAGGTAGAAAATTCATAGGTTAGTTATTAATAAACACAACTGTAGGGCTGTGGCTTACAGACAGCTTTGACTTTGCTCCGCTTCCCCAGTGAATTCAAATGTTTTGTGACTCTCCCTGCTAAATCTGGGTAGCCTTCATATGCTTTTCCTATGGCAACCTCTGTTCCTTCTTGTAGGCATCTCCCCAGTGTTCAGTAATGCAGGGATTCTGCCTAGGAATAAGAGTACTTTGGTGTGGCTAAACAGATCCCCATTAGAGCACGCATGTGTCTACATGAGGAGCTTGATGCTGATTGATGGAAAGTCAAAGTGTACTAGTTGACATGTGTAACTTTTTTGGATGCCAGATACATTTTTGCTGTTAGGCTGTGTACATGTCACTGAGAACTGCGCTAAATTTCAGTAATACAACTTAAGGCATGTATGTGAAAGTTGGGGAGCATGGTATCAAGAAGAAGGTGAGAGAAAGCATTTGGGAATTTTCCCTGGCCTTGTCAGATTAGTGGTTCTTACGGGTATGAATGAGTGATTGTCAGTGTGGGGAGTTCTTGCAAAATCATTTGGTTGGTGGGAATTTAAACTAGTTGAGTGTGAGTTTTCTTTTTGGGTGCCAAGTACCTTTTTGCTACTAATCTTAACTTACTTTCAGGGCAAATGGAAAAAGCACCATAACTGACAAAACAAAAATGTCTATATGTGACTATAGGAAGAGTGTTCTATTTTACAGTGAGTCATCTTTAGGCAAACTGTAGGAAAAGTCAAAAATGGTCCATGAGCCAAAAAGAAGAGATCTCTTTAAAAAGAGTAGGCTTTTAAAATGGAGTAATTTAGTTTTGTCCAAGTGGGAAGCACTTTCAACCTTGTGATTTTGAGGGTTATTAGAGGAGGCTGCAGCTGGGGTCGTAGTTTTAAAGCAGTGGAGTGCTAAGAAGGAAGATGGAAGCAGTGGTAAAGGGAAGGGGAGCCCAGGCCATGTGTGGGCCTGAAAGCAGTTGAGCTCTTGATTTGGCTTGTTAATCACAAATACTAGTTTTCTACTGTTGGTTTTTTCACTTAGTTTACAGTGCTGTTACATTAGTTAAAAAACAAGAGTCCCAGTAATGAATTAGTTACCAATGTGAAGTTACTAAAGATGTAAATGAGGGTGATGTGTATGTATGGAAATCCATAAAGCCTGCAAGTGGGCTAGTGAAGGATGTCAGATCAGAGTATACACAGAGGGGGAGGGCAGGATGGAAATCCCCCTCTTTATTCGTCATTACCCAATCCTATTTCTTCTTTCATCTAAAAAGGAAGAAAACAAAATCAGCTCATACTAGCTACTTGGAAATTAGTGTCTTTCATCTGCAGTTACATTAAAAAAGATAACTCGGCAACTGCTTGGTGGAACAAAACTAGTTTTGTTTACCAAAGTGTTTTCTGAGACATCATGCAAATATAAACTCTGTGTGGAGTTTTGAGTCTTTACCAAGTACTTCCACTTTAATAGGGTGTTAGGAAAGGATCAACATCAACATTTTTAATTAAAGAGAAACAGATTATTTGTTTCCAAAATTTAGTTACTTCCATACCTCCTCTGAAAGTGCTCTAGAACCTCCTGCCCTGAACTGTTGCAGATGCCAGAGGAATTGCAGTAGCCTGAATGAAAGGTGTTTGTGGGTGCATCATTGTGCAATCCTATAGAAAAGCTAGCTTGTTCTGTGGAGGTAAAATTTAGTGTTGCTGGGTGAAATAAAGAGACTAAAGGGAGAATCTCTAATAGTTCATAACATTTAAGTGTAATCGTATTCCAGCATTGGTTTTCCTGCATCCTAATTTTTATAGAAGTAATGTACAACTGAAGGCAAAGAGAAGAGATGGGTGGGAGGAAACAAAATGACCAATCCTCATCCAAAACAGACAACTTGAACAGCGTAATTGGCATTTTCTTACAGGCATGCTATGTGTTCAGTCTCTCACCTTTTTTGTAATGAACAAGGCAGTGGGAGATCCTGAATGACAAATCACAGCAGATATTATAAATAAATTATGTTAGAGTTGGTCACTTCTCAAATTGTGTTGTGAAAATGGTATTGTATTCTGGTAATTTATTGATACCTCTACTTCAATAGAGTTTAATAAATGTCACAGAGAAACTTCCTTCATTATCTTTGTTGTGGGCAGCCTTAAATGACTCTGAAACTGAAGAACAAAAAGAAAGAAAAAATAAATCATAGCGGAACTGTCAAGGGAGAGGAAGGGAATTGCATACCTTGGAAGTTACAAGGAAGTTGTCATCATGTGAAGTTGTCGTGGTGTGTTCTTTTGTTGTTTTTTCTTTTTTAAGGGCTGCTGTAAAAGTTGGAAGGAACATTTTAAGGACACCTGCAGGTCATTCTAGAATGTGAATGTAATCCAGAAGGAAAGGATTAGTACATATGTTTAGGATAGACAAAAATAAAATTATTTGTGGTCTTATATCTATGGCTGATTATTCAAAAAAGGGGAAAAATAAAAAAGGAAATAGTGTGATAGGCAGTGCAGAATTAGAAGAAAATAGCTAAAGACTTACCAAAAATATATAGTATACTCTTTATTGGCTTTATAACTTTCTTAAATTGAACTTGTTACAAAGGGAAACAGCAGAGAGTCACCGAGCCATTGAGGTTGCAGTTGCTATGACAAGGATCCTTGAAAACAGAAAATATAAGTTGAATGAAAAACAGAGAACTCTTAAATTGTGACGCTTTCCAAGGCATGGGGGTAAAGGTTGGGGAGCAGATATATGGAGTTGGAGTAATGTCGAAGTGGATTTTGGACTAAAAGGAAATTGATACACTTGTGGCAAGATTTGACTTAGAGTCCCATCAATAGGAGTAAGGTGTTAGCAAACTGGATTTTAGGTGGAGAAGAGCAGTGAAATAACTGAGGCTGGAAGGATTGAGATAGGAAGTCAGAGTGTTAATATGTGGCAGTAATAAACTTAGCAGCTTGGGCAAACTAATAAAAGGGCAAATGTTATGCTCTGTATTTAAAAAGAATAAAAGGCACAGAACCATGATCATAATTAAGAGCAACAGATAAACATTTGAACTGAATGTCAGGAAAGTGTCCCAAGTATTAGTCCAAACAGGTTCGGTCTCCCAAAGGTGGGGGGGAATGCTCAAGAGTTGAGCTTGATTTGTCTCAACTCTTTTTATGTTTGTTTTGGCAGACTCTGAGCTCTGTAGTTAGAGTTCTGGCACCAACATGAGGTTTGTCATCTATAGAGGCAGGCGTTGCTCTGATTGATGCGAGTAAATGTAACCACGGCAGAGGAAGGGATCCTGTGCTGGTCAGGAGAAGGCAAAGAAAATCAACTGTTTCTCTAAAAGCTGCTGCTCATTGTGCTTTTCCTCCTCTCCAAAGTTCTGTGGAAATATGTGGATTAGAAAGCTGAGGCACTGTGGGATATGATTATTAGTTGTTTTTCAAGTGGTTTGATATTTTGCAGCATGTGGAAACCTGGCTAGGGACTGTTTGGTAAAAAGTGAGCATGGGATGTTTTGGGGAACTCTGCATTGCTCCACAGAGCCAGCACAGAGCAGATGTTACCTGGTTCAGGACCTGCCAAATAATATTGGATTCCAAGGTGTAAACCTCCTCTCTTCTCCACACCACATGTGGACCTTTGTGGTAGGCCTGTTTGCCACATGGGGTTAGTGCCATTCACCCCTCCTCTGCACAAGGCGCTGCTTTGTAAAGGTGTAGAAAAGAACTCACTAATGTAGTGATGGCATTAGGGTGAACTGGGTTTGATGCTGTCCTCAGGGGTCTTGGTTCTGGATGAATGTGTCTCAGAGGGTTCCTGGTTAAGTAAAAGAAGGTGATTAAGCCAGTACTTCTTTTGCTTTTGTACTTGATCAAAGGCAATGGTAGCAGGAACTGTACTGCTGGTGTCTTGTTTGCTTGTGGTTTTGTAGTTTAAATGAAAGCTCTGGTTATCGCTGGGATAACCTTCTCTATGCTTACACTGGTGGGCAAGGCCTTCAGTCCTTTTATTGCTCTTGGATGTCTGTGCCTGATGTTTCCCACGGAAGAGATCACGTCTTTGCACCTCTAGAATCGTTTGCTGTAATTTTCCCATTGCCAAAAGCTGTGGACTAGGTGCTGTGGTCCATTGTTCACTGAATAAACTCTGCCACAAGTTACGGCAAGAAATGTTTTGCAGCTATGGTGGAAGCTGATTGACTCTTCTGCTGCCATTATATGAGTTACGTATGTTTTAAAATAAAACTACTCTAGCAGCAGAAGGTTTTTCTGCCCTGAGGAGAGAGTTAGTGGGTTGGAAAGAAGCCTCCAGAGGCATAGCTTGGGTCTTGAATTTGAGTACGTTGAAAGTAGAATTATGGATGTCAGAGCAGGTGTTGTGGTTGTGTTTTGTTCAGGCTCTGTGTGAATTTGGGAATGAAACAGAGAACTCATGGGAGGGCTGGGTAACCTCTCGCCGTCACTGGGGACATGTTAGGAAGTTCTTCCAATGTTTGGGGTTAAGCACTGGTTGCAGACATGCATTCATGCAAATTATGTCTGGAACCATCATGGCTAAAAAATTCCTGAAATTAGAAATTAAAGGGAGGAAAAAAAAACCCTCCAGAAATTTTAAATCTGCAGACCAATTTTCTAGAGCATCCCGTGGTTCCAACCACCATCTCCTCGCTTTGTGTTCCACTAATAATGAAAACAGATTTGCATATTAATCAGAAGGGTTGAAATAAGACATTGTGCTTTTAGCTTGTAACTGGTTTCTTTCCTTCCCCAAATTACAATAGGAGCGTGGAAAAACTCAATAGAAGAATGGACAGCGGAAGACTGGAATGAAGATGTAAGTGTACCTTGCTGGGTAGAGCAATTGTTTATTTACCCTTTTCAGAGTTTCTCTATTGTCTTCAAAAACTAAATGTTCGAAGTAATACTTTGCTGTATGAATTCAATGATATTTCTTACTATGTTTCTTGCAACAATTCCTGTTTAAAATATACAGATATTTAGATAATTACATTTTATTTAAAAGATAAGCTTAAGAAATACTAATTTATTTGGCTGATGGATAATACATAGATAATAAAATTTTAAGTTTTATCCCAAATTAAGTATTTATGAATTATAGTTCTTCACTGCTCAATGCAGATGGGTGTTAACCGCATACTTCCCCCTACTATTCTGTAGGGATTTAAAGCCATATTATCATATGATTTTGATGTAATGAAGTGCTGAAGCTTACTGTCAACTTCAGACTCCTCATTTCATGCTTTTTATTTAAAATTTGTGTAATTGTTCCACATAGTCCACTTCATCTTCAGAATATTAAATAAAGGAGATAGTAGTATGCTGAAGTTAGCACTAATTGCTTCATTCCTGTTGTTTTATCATGATGTGTTGTCTGAAGTATTACAACAAGACAAGGGATGTCTTCATGTCTGCAAGTTATTTGGCATTTGTGATCATGATGGGTGAAAATCACATTTGTGATTTTAAGTTTTTAGTTAATGTATTGGAGCTTAAGCAGTTCAGGAAACAAATGGGGTAACAAGAAATAGGGAAAGAAAAACTTAGTTTTTAAGAAGTTTTTAATCTTTTATAGCAATATCCATTATTTCAAGTTTACTTCCAGAAGAGTAAAAGATTGTCTTGGAAGTCATCCCTTTTGCCCCATCCTGTAGGGTGGCATGTGTCAGTGTTATCCCTAGGAATGTGTGAGTAATACTGTATGACAGATATGAAAACTCTTGTCCTTACCTAATGAGAGGGCTGTGTCATTCAAGAAAATGAAAAGAAACTCCAAAATTCATAGGTTTTCTGTATCATACTGCTATCAAAAGCTGGTGTCTTTTTTTAAACCTGTCCTCTATTTCTGCAGTATAAGTGGACTAAGGGCTAAGGATAGTGAACATTTCTGGCCTTGTTTCTCATCCCTGTTTGATGCTGGTACAATAGAGTGTTTGTAGGTGTTGAGCCAATGGTGAGTAGGGATAGAATTTTTCAAAATTAATTATTAAACCTGAGTAATTTGCACATGAATCTTGAGACAGTGGCAGATGAAATCTCTAGCCTGTTGTTAATTTTTATTGATTTTGGAGTGCTAGAAAAATCCCTGTAACCTAGGAAAAGGTTGTTCATTTGCTGATGTTCAGAAAGAGTAAATGAAATGGTGAACTGCAAACAAATTAGCCCAAAACATCCCTGGAAGGAAAATAAAAGAAAAATTGAATCATCTGATTTTAAAAAAATAGAAGCATAAGAATGCAGCTTGTGCTATTCAGTGTAGTTTAATGGAAAATAGGTGTATTTCAAATAAACCTGATCTTAGTCTCTAAGTAAATTAGGAGTTAACTGTGAAGGTAGAGTAGTTCTCTAAGACATTTGATCTCCGTCTTTTGTTCTAAAAATAATTACATGCTATCACAAAACATATTAAGTGGATTAAAAACTGTCTTGCAAATTTTATCAAATAAATCTTTTGCTGGAGGACACTTACAGACAGGGGCATTTCTAGGAGGTCTGTAAAGGAATCCATTCCCACGGCAGATGCTAGCTAGTGTCTTTATCAGTGATTTGGAAGTAAAAATAAAATTACTGCTGAATAAAATGTGTGGGAAATAAAAAAAAAAAAAGATATTAGAGTGGCAATTAAAAGTAAGCCAGTCCCACGGAGAAAGCTAGACCTCTGTTAGACTTGACCTGCTGAAGTGACAAACGCTTTAATATAGCTAAGTGCCCATCTGTTTTATAGGAATAGAGGCACACCTCCAGAATGAGGGGTTGTTTTCTGGAAAGCAGTAACTGAAAAAAAATTCAGGATTGTAGTGGATGATGAAAGAGAACAACTCAGCGTGATCTCCTCAAGGGCTGATGCTGTGGCAAAAAAAGCTATTGTAGTCTTTTTGCCTGTAGGTACTCCTCCCTGTCTCTTAATCATTCTTGATTTATATTTCTGTATGTGGACTCTCCTGAACTTGATTCTGAAACACTGAATCCAATTACTCATTGCTTTTACAAAACAGAAATTGTGGAAAATAGCTGAAAATTACTTACTGATAGAAGAGGTGCTTGAGAGTGAGATTTTTAGTTTATCTGAAAAAGTTGCTTTATTAGCATATAATGGGCTCTGGTTTTAGTCTAGCAGAAAAAGGCATACTATCAACCTGTGTCTGGAAAATGGATCCAGGCATTTAAATATCTAATAAGCAAACAGTTCTAGCAGCATGACTGATGATGAAGACAGCCAAGGAAGCTGATGTATTTGCTGTCTGCAGATGAGGTTGTTTTTTGAAGAGTATTTTTGTTTAAATGCAATGTTCTCTAGTCAGATACAAGTTAGGAGCAGATCAGTGAAATTTAATGTTGTTTGACCTTAGAAGAATTGGATTGTTGTAATCTAATAGTGCTCTCTGGTATTTATCTTTAGTAGTGAGTGTTGAACAGGTATAATAGGTTGTAAGCATACTCTTAAATAGAGTGGAAAGTAGTTGCAGTGAAAATAGGAGGTTGTATTTTGTTAAAGGAAAATTCAGGACAGTGAAGGACCAGACAATGTTGAGGTACTGTAGATGGCTCTGTTTTTTCCTCTTAAAATTGTGATCATGGCTAAAGAAAATAGAATTAAGGGGAGAAATAGGATACATACTAATTGCTGGAAAGTGGATGAAGGCAAACATTTTCTGCACAATATTGGTAGTCTTAGCTTCTAGCTGAAATAACAGCAACACCTTAAAAAATAAGAAGGATAAAATAAAGTATATTTTGGTGGGAGCGTTTCCTTTATCAGGAAGCAACATGAGAACTTATTTTAGTTTCTTTAACTTCAGTAGATCATATAATAACAGTAATAAGAGTTTGTTATTTCTGATTATTGATGTTGAGTTTTTATGAGGATGCTGGAGTACATTTTCCTGTTTTCCTGACCTATCAACTGGCCGTAGGAGCTGGTAGCTAGTTGTTAAATATATTGTCCATGTAGTGATTGGAGAACGACTTCTTGCAGGAGCTGAAAAGCACAGGCATTTCACTGCAGATGGAGGAAGTGACGTGGTCAGGCTGTTGTTTGCAAATGGTTCACAACCATTCATTCAGTTCTAGGAAAATGCCAGAGCCTCGGTAAAAGATTTGTGAGCGCAGTGTACGGTGGGCATAAATAACTTCATTAGGAGCCAATAATACTTTTAAGATAAGTACTAACAACATCTGTGTAGTAAAACTTTCCAGCTGCTGCTGCACAAAGTATGTGTTTTGACAAATGCTGTAATCCTTGCAGACTTCTGAATTAAGTTCTTGACTGGAGCTTATGGTGGTGAGTTTGCCACAGGGTCCAGTGTAAATTTCAGTGTAGCCAAGCTGGTAACTGGAGACTTTTGGTTTTGCGTGCTGGTTCACTTGAAGAGAACATTTCCTCTCTCATACAATATGTAAAGCGTGCTTTTGCATTGTCACAAGCATCCTCAGGCTCCTTGATGTACTTAGTTTTAAGGATTCGTCAGTGTTTTGGCTACAGTTAGCCTTCTCCTGGATTAAGTGAGCATAATAAACTGTTGACATTACAAAGAATTTAATATTTAACCAAGGGATTGCAGACCATAGGCTGCTGCTTGTGCCATTAGCTGACCTCCTCGTGCCATTTAATGCAGGAGTCTCATAATACTACAAAACCTACAGCACACGTTGTTCTAAAATAACACATACAGTGGAGAAAGGGCTGAACAATAAAGAAACAGCCTTCTAAAATGGGAATATGCTTGAGCTGAATCTTTTCATTTTGGCCAGTGCGTAGGGTTGTAGGCTGGCAGCATTATGCACAAGACAGAGTTGTGTTCCAGAAAGATGGGATTAAAGTTATATTCACAAGAAGGGAAGGGAAGGAAACAGAGGAGGAAACAGTGGTGGTACTCATTTTTTTGGTGTCATAGTGCGTTGCACGTAAGTGCATGCTAGGAGACTACATGGAACATTTGAACTTTGCCTCAGAGTGGTAAGTGATTTGATCCCAGTCAGCCCTTGTGCACCCTGCTTAAATCAACAGTATTTCGTAGGAGAATCCCAATCAGATGACCATGTCCAGGGATATATGTGGTTTCAGTAGAGCTGCCTGTGGGATGGCGGATGAAATTGGCTCTTGTCCATGATGTCCTTTAAACTGGGCTGCTAACAATGTATGCAATTAAATATGCATAATTTCTTGGAAGGTCAGTATTCAAATGTCACATTCTAAAGGGATTGTATTTGCATGTTTGAATAGATCAGTTATTCTTTAGTCTAAATACAAAGCTACACCAAAGTAGTTAAGGGTGATGTTGTGCAAATTTAATTTAAAATGTAACCATTAGCTGTACAGATCTTTATCTTGTTAAACCTAACATGTCCTGGTTTAAGACCTATTCTGGTTTGCAAGGACTCCTCTCAGTAAAAATTAATTAGTCTAAGAAGTTGTAGCTGTTTACTATTTTCTAAAAAATAAAAGCTAATTTAAAAATCTTCCCAAACAAACCAGTAAACAACCACATACACACACACCCCTGGCCCCAAAACAGAATCACCCCCATTTCCCCCAGAACCCCAAGCAGCCAGCTCCCCTTCCCTGTGCAGGTATCTATCATTATTGTAACAGCATGGTGAAAGCAGTACAGTTTTCTGCTGTGGATGGTCTGACTGGTTATACTAGCATAAGCAGTTACCTGGTTCTCCCTTTATTATTGTTTTTGAACTTGTGCTTGCAGAGCAATGGGTTTAAGATGTTATGCCACCATTAGCAGAAATGCCAAGAAGTTATCACAAATGCTTGTTTGCTGTATGTACCTGAGTGCAAAACTGCCTCTGCTGGTGGTGTGAGCTGAAATGTAAAACACTAAAATGCTAGGATACATGAAATGAGTGAGAATGAGAAGGGTGCAAGGGAATTAGGCTTCTGCAACAAGGTTTGTCAGAGCTGCTCTATAGGGTCCAAAAATTACATCTGCACAAGGTATCTTTACACGGATGATATACCAACCACCATGTTAATTACTTTCTACAGGTATATTTTTCAGTTAAACTGTTGCTCAAACTGATGTAGTTACATTAGTATACCATTGTGTGTGTTCATTAGATCAGATTTCCTAATGCTTTTAATTAAATTGGTACTTGATTCTACAGAGAAGACTCTGCTGACGTTTGACTGTATGTTTTTGTCATTTTAAGCAGAGCTGGTTGTAGTGGTAGTTGGACTTTTATCTTGAAAGTGCATGAGCAAGGTGGAATTTTGCAGATGTCACAGCAATGAAGTGTCAGTGTGTGTACAATTAAAATAACTCTCCTCGCCCTTCTTATTTTTTTTTCAGCTTTCTGAAACAAAAGTCTTCACTGCTTCCTCTGTTCCAGCTGAGAACCATGTGACTCCTGGGCAAAGGTAAACTCTTATTCCGTGTTTTCCCTATATCTTAAAAACCTTCTGCTTGGTGAAGCAGTGTTAGCTTGCACATACAAAATTTTGAATAAAATACAAGGTGATCCTGGTCAGAGAATGGTCAAGCTAATTTCAAAATTGCAAAGTCTTTGCAAATCATTGGTTTTGTGGATTCCTGTGTTACTTATTATTGACTACAGAAGTGGAGTCAAACCAGCCAAATCCACAAACATGATACTGAGAAGACCCTGTTTTCTGCACAAAGTCTGCATACAGGCAGGAACAAAAATAGCTGGGAAGAAAAGTTTTCTACTGTTGAAAAGGAAGCTCTGGCTTTGTTGTCCAGAAAATAGAAAGCCTGCCCCTGTAGACACAGAAAATGTTCAGAACATAGTGCTTTGACAAATATGCTAACAGAAAAGTTTGCATTGGTAAGAAGGTGAATTTTCCTGGTAAGCATCACAATTACTTGCCTTAACTGATGATACAGAGTTCAGGTACAGAACCAAAAATATGGCAGTTGCTGCCTTCCTTTGCTTGCCTCTGTCTTCACCAAATGCCTGGCCAATGCTGTTGTCGAATCACTTGACTGTATTAGCCTTAGGTCTTAGGAGAGAAGGTTAAATTTGGGTGATGAAGACTTAGGTAGTTGGATAGCATGAGATCTGAAAACTAGATGACCTACTGGTCGCAAACATCTTGATGTAGCTGTACTCTGGACTGCAGCAAAATTTTTCTTATAATGGGGGATATTATCTGGAGGAAGCATTGTGTCAGTTGGTCTACAATTTATATTTCTTTCCTTCTTAAAGGTGATATGCTCACATGTTCATTGTATTCTTCTAGTGGATGTCCCTGAAATTATGTTATTTCAGTTAATCAACCCAAATTCTGGTGTGTGGGGCTGCTTTTTTTTAGTGTGTGCTTGTTTTTTTGTTTCATTATACTTGCCATAAGAGATTTGGGCATTAAGAAATCTATGCGAGTGAAAGTGCTGAAAGCAGCTCTTCAGCCCAAGCCTGCAGTATATTTAGGATAAACTTTAGTCAGAATTTTTGGAGTATATTTCCTTTATTGTCTGAATGCTTTGCTTTTCCTGGGATAAACCTGTGCTAGACATGTGGTAGGGGCTAGTAAACCATGCTATATGTGTGGTGGGGGTTAGTAAGCAGTGCAAAATATAAGAAAATTCATGTGATGCATGATGTTATAAATTTGACAATGCTTGAAAAGAGTGCAAAGATAATTTATATTCCAGCTGTAGTAGAAGGTTCAGATAGCAGAATATTATTTTCTGGCAAAAACTTTTGTTCTGCCTCTTTTTGTATGTCAGACAAACAGTATTGGAAAAGATTATTAATCAATAATAATTCTGTTGCCAGTACAACAGCTTTAGTATTGTTAGTGTATTCTTCAGTTTCAGCACAGCCTAATCAGCATGTTTATTCCAGCCAAACTTTGCTTTTTCTTACAGCATTGATCTGGTAACGCTGCTTCAAAAGCCTGTGACTTCTGCCCCAGAGACAGAAGGCAACTCATTTGAAGCTCCCCAGCAGCAAACCTTTGGCCAAGCCCTAGTCTTCACAAATTCTCAGCACAGCACCCAGATGGCATCAGGAACTGGCAGCTCCAGTGCTGTAAATTCTTATTCTCCTCAAAGCCTGGTAAAATTATCTTATGCTTTCTAAATATTCTTCATATTTCAGCTTAAACAACTTTTCCAGAACTGGTCATTTCATGAGATGTTTCAGTATTTGTAACGTTCAGGTTGTAAATGTTGAAGGAATGGAATTAAGGATTCTATTCCATCCATTCACCCCCACACACAAAAAAAGATTACTTTTTTCTGCTTTTGCTGAGTAGTTGTTTCTTGGTTTACATAAAGTAAATACTTCTATTAATTTTTGAGTAGAGAGCAGATGCATTCACTGCATGCTGATTTAGCATGAAGTAATTTGTTTATAGTGAAGAGTTCTATGCCAGAAAACTATGAAGTGTTATTTCCAAACACGTATCTGACTGCTTTTTATGGAAACCTGACTGTTTCTGAGTCCATTGTGAGGACTTGAAATTGGGGTCTTAAATTTATTCTCTGAAAAATTAGTTCAACTATTAGCAAATATGTGCTATTTTGAGATGCATGGATTTAAGTAAATCAGTATTCATAGAATCATCAAGGTTGGAAGGCACCGTTAAGATCATTAAGTCCAACCATCAGCCTAACACTGCCCAGGTTACTACTGAACCACGTCGCTCAGCACTATGTCTATTTGTCTTTTAAATACCTCCGGGAATGGTGACTCAGCCATTTCCCTGGGCAGCCTGTTCCAATGCTTGACAACCCTTTTGGTGAAGACATTTTTCTTAATATCCAGTCTAAACATCCCGTCGCACAACTTGAGGCCACTTCCTCTTGTCCTATCACTTGTTACTTGGGGGATGAGCCCCAACCCTGCCCCTTGCTACACCCTCCTTTCAGGTAATTGTAGAGAGTGATAAGGTCTCCCCCTCAGCCTCCTTTTTTCCAGGCCAAACACCCCCAGTTCCCTCAGCTGCTCCTCGTAAGACTTGTGCTCCAGACCTCTCACCAGCTTCGTTGCCCTTCTCTGGACCCGCTCCAGCACCTCAATGTCTTTCTTGTTGTGATCACAGTGTTGGAGGTTGGATCGGTGACAATCAGAGCGGATCTGGCCATGTGCTACAACTGCTGAATTTTTTTATTGGTCATTTGTTAGTAATCTAGGGCTGAAGAGGTTTTAGTTGCTGCCAAATAGCAGCTGCAGGCACTGACCCCAAGGCTATATTCAAATTATTTATTAAATACTGAACTCCACTCCTTCCCTTCTCTTTTTTTTGTCTTTGGTAGTCTGCAGTTCTTTGTTCTGGCTTTGGAGAACTCGGATCCTCTAAATTGGCCAACTCTACTGGATCCCAAATCTTAGACCAGTTGAAATCTCCAGGATTGGGTCAGTTTACCTCTCAACAAAACAACAGTAGCTCTACCGCCACTACTGCGACTACAACGTCATCCTGGGATCTGAAACCGCCCATTACTCAGTCCTCAGTCCTAAGTCAGTTTGGTAAGTACTTTGACATAGCTTTCTCTCTCTTTCTGTCTCATTTAGACACTAAAATTTCTTAATGTCAGTGACAGTTTAAAATTACCTTAATGAAAGACTTTTTGAAAAAAATGTGATTTTAACAATACATTTGGTTACAACATTGTAAGAGTTCCACTTCCTTGCAGGTAATAGACATTATGAGTATGTCATAAACAAAGTTTTGAGAGGCTTAAGCCTATCCATAATTGTCATTGCATATTTAGAAGTTGTTGAGCCTTCATCTTTGATTTAATGGGTGTGAATATTTATGTGGAACTTTGATGTGACTTTATTTCTCAACAGCTCCTGGAAAATACTTATTTTCATTGTGCCCATACTGCATCTAGCTGAGTAAACGTTTGTACCATATCTTGTCCTTTTTTCCCTGAGTTTTTATATTCTGGCTATTACATGAATTTTGAACTAGTACTATATAATTTCTTCACATCTCGGTTTTCTTTCCCTATTCTGCTGAGAATGATGTAGGTTACCCATTTTGTCTATTCATAATTGTATGTATTTTTCATTTAATTGAGCAGAATTAGTAGAAACAGCAAAACTTACACAAACTTGTTTTTTGCAGTGTAGTTCCTAGCTATATTCTCACTCTGAAGAGTGATAGCTCTTGTATATATCTAATGTGTATGTGTATATGTTTCCAGATAGATAAGCAGCCTATTTGGTACCGGTTATAATCTTTTTCATGCAGCAATTCTGAAAAAAATGTTTATGTACCTTTTAAGTTGCTTTCTAATGCTCTTTACCAAATGAATAAAAAAACCTTCACATTGCAAATGCTGGGGATCTCTTATGGTTGTTGACCAGTGCTCTGAGACGCTGCATGGCTTTCAGCATCTGAGAAATATGACGGGGGAAGTCTTGGAAGAAACTGTCAGTGTCCAGTGTCTCTTGGCCAGATTGAGATGGTCAATGACTTCCTATTTGCGTTGAAAATCTTCTCCTTTGTAGGGGAAGAAAGTCCTAACTATAATAGCTCTGAGTAGCAGCTCCAGACACCTTGGAAGTAATCACAATTGATCAGCACAGTTAATTGCAGTGAAACTTGCAATCTTTGATTAAAATAATCCATAAGAGTTTTTGAGGACTAATGTGTGATAATATTATGTGACTGTATGGATAGGCTTGTTGTCATATTTTTGAAGAAAGCTAAATAATTCTTGCTCACAGCTGTTTAGAGAATACAAATTGTTGGTCTTACTATTGCGGTGATGTTCAATGTTAAACTCATGTGAAGGTTGAGAGAGACTTGCGCATGCTATAAAATCATAGCTGTTGAGTATGTCAGCTCACCCAGATTCTTTCATAAAGAGTAGAAATGTAAAGACCAGAGTTTAATGTTTTAATTTCAATATTTGTTTTTTCCCCCACACTGATCAGACTTTAAATCCCAGCCTGAACCATCCCCAGTTCTGAGCCAGCTGACCCAGCGACAGCAACAGCAAACGCAAACAGTCCCTGTTCCTCCTCCTGGGCTGGAGTCCTTCTCCTCCCAGGTGAAACTCCGTGAGCCGTCGCCTGTAGACTCCTCTACAGCTGTCAGCAAAATGTTACAGCTCCCCACTCTATCTATGGATAACCAGACAGTGACTGCCCATCAAACCCAGCAGAAACAGATAAAACCACCAAAGCGGAGGATAGCTCCAGCATCCAAGGTGGGTAATTGAGTGGTGGCTTGACCTTAGTAAATGTAAAAACATACAAAAGCTTGTATCAGGAACAGCGGGGTGAGTAGGTGTAGGGAGGTGACCGTCTCCCTGTACTCGGCACTGGTGAGGCCTCACCTTGAGTCCTGTGTTCAGTTTTGGGCCCCTCACTACAGGAAAAACATTGAGGTGCTGGAGCGTGTCCAGAGAAGGGTAACAAAGCTGGTGAGGGGTCTGGAGCACAAGTCTTAGGAGGAGCAGCTGAGGGAACTGGGGGTGTTTGGCCTGGAAAAAAAGAGGCTGAGGGGGAGACCTTATCACTCTCTACAATTACCTGAATGGAGGGTGTAGCAAGGGGCAGGGTTGGGGCTCATCTCCCAAGTAACAAGTGATAGGACAAGAGGAAGGAAGTGGGCTCACGCCATGCGAGGGGATGTTTAGACTGGATATTAGAAAAAACGTCTTCACCAAAAGGGTTGTCAAGCATTGGAACAGGCTGCCCAGGGAAATGGTCAAGTCACCATCCCTGGGGGTATTTAAAAGATGTGTAGATGTGACACTTAGGGACATGGTTTAGTGATGGACTTGGCAGCGTTAGGTTTATGGTTGGACTCAATGTTCTTAACAATCTTTTCCAACCTAAATGATTCTATGATTCTATTCAATCTATATATAAGTTGGTAGGGAGAAGGAGAGCAAAGACGGTGGTATATTTCTTGTTTATAAAGCAGTAAATTCTAAGATGGATGGGTTTTAGGTCCGAAATACAGTGATGTTTTCTTTTCCAAGCACGTATCTGATTGCTCTATGTGGAAAATGACTGTTGTTGAGTGTTTTGGATTGACTTAGCCACAAGATGAATGTTGGCAGAAGGGGGTTGGACACAGCTGACACATTGGTATTGTAGAATAATATGGCTTACTCTTCCAGCTCGAGATTGGGGCACAGAATCAATTAATTTCAATTTACAAGAATGTAGTTAATTTGTGTGATGTAAACGGCAGAGTTACAGCAGATCTAGTTAGCAGTGAAGGCTGAGGCAGTAACTGAAGAAGCCTGTAGTTGAGGGGAGGGTCTCAGTTACTGATATCTTTAATACAGATACAGCCTGCAAAGGAATTATGGCTTTTTTTCCTCCTTTAAGATTCCTGCCTCTGCAGTGGAGATGCCTGGATCAGCGGATGTGACAGGGTTAAATGTTCAGTTTGGAGCTCTGGAGTTTGGATCAGAGCCTGCACTCCCAGAGTTTGGATCAGCTTCAAGCAGTGAGAATACCAGCCAGGCGACCAACAATAGCTTGTACTCAAAATCTGTAAAGTACGTGTGAGCTCCCCTTGTGCATTCTTACATGTCTTCTTTAGGGGGTCAAGTTTGTGCCAAAAACATCAAGGCTCAGTAACCATGTAATGGGAGAGGAAAATATGATGACTTGTAACGCTAAGTGTTTTCTGTGGGTGGCATCTTAAAGGAGAAATTTCTTTTCTAATGGCAACCAAATCTCCATGGGTGGGTTGACGTGAAGCTGTAGATGACATGAATGTAACTAACCTTACAATAAGCTACCCTGTATAGAATTGCTTTTTCGTGTTTAATTGTCTCGATTTTCAAGTTTGTTTGGGGGTTTTTCTCTCAGAACCCAAACTTTTCTGCTTTTGATCCAGGAGAGATGACCTTAATACCATATATGTGTGTCAGTAGATTGGCACCAGATTACACATCTGATGCTCCTGTGGGATGAGAAAAAAAGCCAGGCTTTCAGTGTGCAGAAGCTCTTATTGAAATGCTAAAATAGCCAACGATAAATGCCAACTTACCAGTAACCCATTTATTTCTTTCTTATTCATTCAAAAATTGGCTTTGGTAAAAAACTTCCTGAAGTTAATTCAGAAACAATGAACTTTCACATTAATTTCTAGTTCTATAAATGATATAAACTGTTTAGGAAGTAAAACACTCCTGTACATTTTAAAGTATCTTTTTCTCTTTGCGTAGTTCATTCTGTTAGACTGCAACTGTAATGTTAGAATTCTATTGTAAAAAGAGACTGGGTGTCTCTCATCATATACGAGGCTTTATGGATCTGGTTGTTTAAAATTGAGAGATTATGACCATCAGTTTATCCTTTGAAAAGGTGGAAATAACATGACTGAAAAGTGCTTGTGTTTTGGTTGGGTCGGCAGGAGGAAGGTGAATGCTGCTTAACTGCAGCTGGTGATTTTGCAGCAGTGATTACTGGGGACCAAAGCAAAATTATATATATTTTTTTTGTGTGTTAAAATTTTTCGTATAAATAATGTAAGTTTGACTGCATGTTTAAGGTAGGTTCTAGATAACTGTATAGGTGCTATTGTTTTCATGAAGGTGTTTGAGATATCGTTTACCAAGATGATAAATAATTTTTACTTTTTCCAGTGATCCTTTGAATACCTCTTTGCCAATATCCAATACAGTACAGGAGTCCACCTACACAACTTCTGCCATCACCTCTTCCAGCCTGTCTTGCTCATCCCAGAGCACTAGCCCAGTAACAACAACTTCCTCCTATGACCAGACTTCTGTGCATAGTAGGATAGCGTACCAAAGTTCCATGGCTTCGTCTGAATCAATCCCTGTTGCAGTTACGGTGAGTGCATTTCAGAAATAAGAACTTGAAAAAGGTGAAATATTCTTATCCATGTTAGACTTGTATTACCCTGCTATGTTAATACTTTTAACCAAGCCAAATGGTATTTTTTTTTTTCCCAAGCCCACCCTATTACTCGTTTTTACTTTTCCTATTGTGTAGATGTTTTTGGCAATACTGTGTTTGGGATATAAGAGCCTCTGAATTTATGGGTTCTGACATCTTAAATTGCTGTTTACCTTTTCTTAGTAACACTTAACATTCTACTTGAGTTTCCTTCCCTGAAGCTTAGCTTTTAAAAAAGATACTGTCTCTCTATGTAAATATTAGTCATGGTATTTTAACATAACTTGATTGTTTTTATCCAAAGATATATTATTTATTAAAATTACGTGCACCTAGCAAATGGATCCCAAACTTTTTGTGGGCCCTCCAGCATTACTCTTTTTTTGGTTTTAAACACCAATTAGTTTCATGTTTTATTTTAAAAAGCATAGGGAGAGGTCTAATCTAGGACAGAAAGGATCTCTTCGGAGATTCAACAGCACCTACTCTCTTTGCTTATGGAATGTAGGTTTGTTTTAAGAGAACTTAATTTATTAAATGCTTAAGGAACTTGTGAGAGATTGTAAGTTTATTTACTTCTGGCCTTTGTTATGCAATGGCTCAGTCACACTTGTCTTCTGCACTAGCTCGTATGTACTGGTGAGGATCAAGCATAGACTATCCACTTCTGTACTCCAGCGTTATCCAAAAAACAACTGGTGCTTCTCAAGTCTTATCTTTCAATGGAAAAAAAATGTCGTCTCTGTGTAACTTGGATAGTTAAAATTGTGAGTTGCATTAGATCAAAAGCACAACCATTTCCTATATGTTAATGCAATTCTTTCTTTCATATCGGTGTGAACCTGAAGTTTATGTTATATGCAGTACATGGGAAGGTCTCCTGCTGATGGGTGTAGTATGGGCAGTGTATGGGATTCTTTATGTTCAGGACACCTTGCACTTGAGACAACTATTAAGTAGTTTTGTTAAAGGCAGTAAAAAGTTAATTTTCTGCCTTTTTTGTCTTTCAATTTAGAATTAATATAGAATTTTGCATGAAGCATGTTCAGTGTGTGATTCAGTCTGAAAATTTAATATACCTCTAAGATGACGTATTCATTCATTTCTCCTTTGTTTACAGAACGGGCACAGTGGTGTTAGAACACAGGCAACTCTTGACAGTAAGTTTACAAAGCTTAGTTGTGCACAGGATTTTTTGATTTTTCCTTGCTTCTTGCACAACTGTAGCAGTGATATCTGGTTTAAGGTTTTATATTGTTCTGACTAATTTTTCACTGATGCATTTGAGTTTATTTTATACTTGCATAGGATACACTGCTTGCTTGTTGACTAAAACTGGAGTATGAAACCAGCCCTATTAAATCTACAAACCTAAGCAGTCTTAGAATTAGAGAAGGTGCTTTGCTGCTGCTTTTCCTTTTGAACTTACCTGCAAATATTATTTAACGTAAAATAGAATGTAAAAGTAAAAAAAAAAAAAAGAAATTTCATAGCAATTCTTCCAGTTCTCAGTTGGGAAGCTGCGAGTACCATTTAGCTGTAATAAAAGGAAGTCCCATTCTTTGAATGCCCCTCTCTCTCACTGGGTGTAGTGGTCCTTGCCCTGCTTCAAGCCCGTGGGGAATCAGGGCGACTGACACACTGCCTCTGCTGGGCAAGGACATCAGCACAGTACTGGCTCCAGTGCTGGCGTTACTGACAGCCTGTTTCTAATGTGGTGTTTTACTCCCAGCACCCCTAAAGCTCTCTTCCTGGAGCTGACGTAATTCAAGTATAGTATTCGCTCTTCTGAACTTTATGTGCTGCTCTGTGAATGTTTTCAAGGGCAGCAGTGTGAATTAACATTTATTTTTGAATTCCAACACTTCAAATTTAGATCTGTCCTTCTCTTAAACATCTCTTCAGGTAGATCATTAGTGGGACAGCCTTTTTTTTTTTTTTTTTTTTTTTTTTTTTAACACTTCTGAGTAGAAAGAAGTTGAGTATTCAGACCTGTAAGCAGTGTTTTGCTAGCGCCGAGTTCAGTTTAAATGCACAGGAGGAGTTGTATATGCCCAAAGAGTTACTACTTAAAAGACTGTTATATATAGTGACAATTTTTCAAGTGGAAAAAATTCTTACTCTTGTGTACAAAATTAATAAACAGTTTATGAAATTCAGTACAGGACTTGTCTTTTTTGCTGTGGAAAACAAAGATCTGAGAATTCCTAGTATTTTTGTAATTATTCTATAGAGGCTTTATTAGTCCCCTTTTCTATGGCAGTTTTGAGAACGCTTCTGGTGTTTTTCTGTGTCTCAAGCACATAACCTGGAGTCAGCCTTCTTCCATGTATCTTTTTCAAGATCCAAACTATTTTTAAATTCTCCCTTAACTTTTGAAAGTACTGGCCTTTTCCCTTCTGTTTGTGCTGATGATAGTATTAGTTGTTCATCTTGTCTTTTGCTGTTGTTGTCCTTTAACATCCAGTTCTCGTGCTTCCAAAATCCTGAGTTCGAAGCGTGACTGGTGTGTTACAGTTCTGACCATTCTACTCGTCTCCTGGTTTTCTTTGTCTTGCACACTGTGTTCAGGCATCTTGTAAGCCATCCCAATGAAGGTGGTGATTCTGTCTCTCGTACTGAGGACATCTACTTTCACTTCAAGAAGGGAATCCTCCACTAAATGCATTAGGAGTTGTAAAAGTTATTTACTTATTTCTGTATGTGTCTTGTCAGGAGGTATCGGGTGGTACAGTTGCCACCTTCGTAACAATGTTTCTGTCTGTCACTTGAATTTCCCTCTCTGTTGTCAGTCATTCTCTTACTTACTGCCAAGGCCTCTTGATTTCTGTTTGCATGGCACCCTGTTTAGCGACCTGACGTGGGTCATTTAGTGAGGAGACCAAACCAGTAACGGGAACAAACTGTGATGCGTAACTGACTTCCAAGCATATATCTGACTTTTGGTGACCATTCTAAAACTGTCTTTGCACGCGTTGCAAGTTAGTGATGATCTGCTGGGTAGTGGTCTCTGGTGTGGTATGGAAGCATGGCCCAGCAGAAGGCAGGGCTCAGCTCTCTTTCTGGGTTTTATTGGTGGGTGAGTGCCTCTAATTCTTGATATTATCTTGGCAGGACAAAAGATAAGTGTAGAAACAGCTGGGGATTACGTTTGGCAGTAGAGTTGTTCAGTTTCTTGTTACAGTGTGGTGATCCTTTGCAAAGGCACACTTGTGGTAAACGAGTTTTTCTTTGTGTAGCCTGAAAAGTAATGTTAATTGCTAAATTAACATTAACTTAATTAAATTACTAAAAAGTAATGTTAATACTAAACACTTCTTGTTATCTAGGACAAATAAAGTCAGTCAATATTTGGCAGCTCTTTAGCCATTGAAAATGCTTAATGCTGTGCTCAGTTTTAGCCTTTTATTGTAGCTTCTTTTATTCTACTGCATTACACATTTGACTTAGTACTCCAAACTTTTAAGTTTTATGTGCCCTTTTCCTCCAGTGATGTAAGTCTCATTCATCAAAGGTGCTGTGTACGTTTGAATGAAGAAGCAGAGCTGTAGGTAAATGCAGATTTGTGCCTTGAAAAGTGCACAGATGTTTGCGGAACCAAATGTGAGGAGTTCTAAAATGAAGATTGATTTGTGAGCAAAAACTAGTAATCCAGATAGTGGGAGGTGAACTGCATGCATGTGTAGCAGTGAAAATTATAAATCTATTGTAGATGGAGAGCTTAAAGGGAAAAAAATGATAGTTCTGTTGCTGTTTGAATTTTCCTCAACACCCAGATTGCTTGATACTGTTACTGGTTCTTAGTGTTCAGGATTTTATAAGCCAAGGGGAGAATATCTTTGTGTTCCTGAATCCAGGCTGGGATGTCAGGTAAACTGGAGTTGTTACTTGAATGTCTCTTTTTTAACTTGTTGCAGCTACTTCATCAGTTCCAGCGCCTAAGACAGAGCCTTCTCCCTCACTACCTTCTGCTGGGCCTCTGCCTAGCGTGGTGTCCACCACTGCTTCGCTTCTGCCTTCAGCATCGCAGCATGCAGCAACGTTGCCCAACTTGCCTCAGTCCAGTGATTTGGCCAGCAGCTCACTTTCCCAGTTAAGCAGGTACAGTAGGACTTGTGATAAACTGAAAAGGCTTCCATTTTGGGTAAAGGGCAAACATGAGGGGGACTGTGTATGGGGGCTGTCAGACACCAGGGCCCCCTTTTCTGACATTAACTGGAATTTAGAGAGAGATTCGATAGAGAACAGGATGTTTCTAGCTGCAAAGTATAAGCTCTGGGCTGCTTCTTAATTGCAGAGCAGCTGCTACCCTCAAGTTTTTGTGGTATATAAACAACTTTGCCTTTCAAGGGTCTTTATGCTTCAATCATGCCAGCCAGCAAAATTGATTGCTCTGGTTTGCTTTTCCTACTTTGTCCACAGTGTCTGCTGTTGATTTAGTGTCATGTGTTAGAAATTATTCCTTAATAGTTGCTTCATGGCTAATTTTGAAGTACTCTAGTTTCATTTATATTTGTGTTTCTTAAAATTAAAAACCAGAAATAATTCCATGGGGAAAATGTGTGTTTTTTCTTTTTCTAAGAAATTTCCTTAAGACACTTTGAGATACTAGATTGGTGTTTCTGGAAGTGCATTCAGCACAGCATAACTCATTTGCACTATCTGCCTGATTTTTTTCAGTGCCTCTTACTTGAGCTTTGTCCTCAGGCAGGTGATGTCCTCAGGCTGTACTGGTTTAATTATATTTTTAATACTAACCTTTATATTGTATTTGTTACTGTAAGAAACAGGTTTTTTTTTTTCCTGATTCACAGCTAGGACATGGTTTGTTCTCCTTTAATACACTAGTGTTTTCTGTTGAATAAAATGTTAAATATGTTGAATAACAAGAATTATTTCATTCACATTAGAAACATCATCTCCCCACACTGGTTTGTTGAAAAGCTGCGTACTTTGTTGGAAATTCTAGTTGGAGAGTTGCTGCTGTTGGGCAGATACCAAGTGCCATGAAAAGATGATGCCAGAATTCCAAACGTGTCTGACTTGGTTGTGCTGGCAGCTCTTGTCTGCATCTCTACTATAGGTCAGATGGTGAATCTAGGCTTGTTAGAAAAGCTGGGGAGAGCGAGCAAGGAAGTAGTTTAAAACTGTATGTTGGACTGAGCTTTTTATTTCCTTGCTACCCAAAGTGGTCTCATTGTCATTCCTGCACACGGGGTGTCAGTTTTAAAGAATCAAGGTAAAATTAATCTATGAAACTGCCCAGATTTATGCTGGCCCCACACCGTGAAGAACTGCCAGAAGTGTTTGCCCTTAAATTCGGGCATGTAATTTAGCCTGCAACTTTGTTATGAAAGTTGCTTTATTTTCTTTTGGCTGTTTCCATAGAGAACTAAAATACTTGTTATGGTTAGGATCTCTCTCTGATTTCACACAAGGAGGGGGTTTTGAGCACCAAAGCATACACAGGTTTTGTGGCCTTGTTTTGTTCCATGGCCTTTGTTCTGTGTTCATTTTGTTTATTCTATACTGTACTGTAGGTTACATTCATGATCTCGACTGTAAAGTATAATTTTTGTCAGTGTAAATGTTTAAGAAACACTTTCAGTCACATTTCAGGAAAGTATTTGAAGATCTTTGGATTACAGGTCAGTGTTGCTGCTGCTGTCACTGCGAAAAGTTTACAGGCCTGGTCAGCTAGGGGGGAAAAAGGTGGTGCTAAAGCAGAATGCCCTAAAACTAAGCTATCTGCAGACTGAAGTGATAGTTTTATTCATCTTTTCAAAGAGAAAATGGCCTTTGTTGGGGTGTAGTGATATGAACCAACCTTGATTAAACTGCCAGATTCTGTAGTAGTATCGCTGATTTTGGGGTCTTTCACTGATGCACTTCATTTGCTGGGTTTTTTGAGCATTGTCTTTTGAGAGTGTGTTGGGAATTTGGCCGAGTTATGGGGCAAATACCTGCAGTTCTAATTGGTTGAACTAAATGTTGTGCAGGTTAAAATGTGAGAAATACCATTGTGAGTCACACCGAAGCAGTGCCTCACCTAATTAATACCTGTCCTCTGTGGCAGGCAGCAGCAATTGCTTAGGGAAAGAATGAGAAACAGCCATGTCCTGTGTGAACCATCTTCTGGTTTTGGACTTTACGTATTCTGGAGTCATTGCTACCTAATTCCTGAAGCAGTTACTGTTTTTCTAAAAATACAGTAAAATGATAAAGACAAATGAGTGATAGTTTAGATGTTTCTTGTTAGTAATAGTTGTCTCTGTACTTCAGTTTTTTTCATTACAAAGTAATAGGATATTATTTAAAGGAATAAATGCCTGTAGGGGTGTGTGTGTGTATATAGACACACACGCCCCTACAGAAAATTTTTTTATTTAACTAATATTCCACTCTGTGTGTGTATGTGTAGACGGAGATGTACATTTTTTATTAACTAATATCCTACTACATACTCTGTGTATGTATATGTATATATAGACATATGTGTGTATATATATGTGTGTGTATATACGCACATATACATGTGTATGCATATACATGTGTTAAAAATAGTTCTAGGAAAAATTGTTATTAATTCCTTGCAATTTTTTTCTAGCTCCCTTTCCAATCATCAGAGCAGCCTCTCCCCAGCCTCAGTGTTGTCATCAAGCACATCACATGCAGTAAGTCTTATTTGCATTTCAACAGATGTTTGGCATGTAGTCAGTTACCTGATGATCAAGACTCTTAAAGTTGGCTGTGGCCCAGGACACTGAGAACTGAAACAAGAGCCTTATCTCAGGGAAGAAGGACCACCAGCCCTCTAGTGGTAGAAAAAAATCTTTACCACTCGTGATTTGTACTAGATCGGGAATAGTTATTATAGAAACTTGCCAGTCACACAGATCCGGAGGAAATTTTCATGCCAACAAGGGGGGATGGAATAAAGAAAGAATTTTTTGTAACAAATGTATTAAAAAAAAGAAAAAAAATTAGAGGTGGCTGTCTGAAACTGCTTCAAAATGTGGGCTGTTAGCAGTCTTCACTGGAGAGGTTAGCTGGCAAAAGGCAGGTGATGGAATGATACATGTCATGACAGATGATTTTAGACTGTACCATGTGGCATTTTTGTCACCTGTGTATTTAATGCATTTGAGATAACAAAGCAAATGGTAGTGAACACAGTGCTCTAGATGAGGTTGCACAGACGAAAATCAGAGAGACGCTGCCTTGTTCTGTGGTGGGGTACTTCTGTACAGTCCCAGCTGGGGTGTGCAGATACGTTACTGCTTCTCTTTATGCCTGCATTTTGATTTGTAATGTGCCATCCCTGCTGAATGTGTAACTTAAAAATTCACTTACCCAAATGTCCTTCCTTTCTGTTGTCAGAGTTGTTTTGGGTTCTGTGTGCTGATGACACTGTTTCGCAAGTGTGATCAGCTTACAGCTGAGGCAGTGTATTAGACTGGATTCAAACCAGGAACTCCTTTATCCTCATCTGTTCCTGTAATGCATCTGATCTGCGTTTCAGTTACCACATTGACTGTGTTGTGGGCACTGCAGTTTTAATCTTTTAGATTCCACAAGTGCATTGAGGAAATAACGGTAGCAGTGTCCTCTATTTCAAAAACGAATACTGTCTTTTGGAAGAATATAGTTTTATATAAGATAACAACTGCTAGCTTAAAGGAGTATAAAAGCAGATGGCAAGAAATAATGCAATGGAGTGACACCTGAGATACTGTGGTATAATTTTGTGATGATATAGCAATTTGAATTGAACTCTGATGTAATGATTTTCTTTGAATGCTTAAAAACCACAAGCATGCAACTTAGTTGCTTGCTTGGTACATAGATAGTGCATATCTTTTCTATTGCATGCGCTGCTGTTACTTAAAAGATTGTTGGGGGGTTGATTTTTTTTTTTCTTTTTTTTCCCCCTAGCATCTTTCACTGTGGTTTATTTGCTCTGTGATCCTCATTCTTTTTGTCTTCTTTCTAGCACACTAGTGTTGAGAACACATCTTCGCTCCAGCCCTCAACAACCTTTTCAACTGCTTCAACCTCAGCCACTAGCACCACCTCTTCAGTTGTCAGCATGGCAAGCAGTATGAACACTACAAACAGCCTTGGCCTGAGTGTTACCAGTGTGTCTATACCAGCTGCTACCACGCGGGCAGCTCCCTTAGTGTCTTCAGGTTTGCAATATTAACAGATCACCTGGATAGACAGAGGACTTCAGCCAGCAGGGCTGTCAGTTAAGCATCTCACCAGCCATAACTACGCTGAGAAATCCACACTCTTGACTAGCATTTTCAACATGCTTTATTTGCTGGTGTATAAAATAAAATTGTCTGGTTTTGTGTATTTGAAAAATTTGTTAGGGTGTTATGTGGCATTTATATAGCACATTCCACCCTTAAAGAGCTTTATAAATAGACACCAGGGCAGTTCTGACTCTGGGAGTTTTGGACTAGGAGATTCACCCAGTTTGTATTCCAAGTTGTGATCAGCTCTTGGCTGTGAGTTCACATTAGCTTTAATTTCAGTCTTCTCTGTGACTTGAATTCATTTGGCAGTACCAAAATATACTGCAGTATCCTTGTTATATGCCAGATTCTTACTGCCACATCTACAGAAAGGAAGAAAGTGTCTGATGTCTGGGTCATTGCACAGCAAATAGTGCTTCAGAAAAGGGGTCCACAGAGAGAGAAGGTGGGGAGGCTTCTTGCACTGAAGAGCAAGCAATGCTAAATTCTCTCTTGCTTCTCTAATCAACCTGAACTACTAAAAGGAAATCCTATGGAGGGAAGGAAATGATTTAAATATTAAGATCAAACTTACTTACAGAAGGATTTCTCATTTTCTATTCCCATACCTTTTAAATAAAATGTATGATGACTGGACACAGTGCATTTTCTTTTACTCCTCTGCTTCCTAGCACTGCTTCATGGGGGCAGCCGAAACTGTTTCAATCTTCTTCTCTTTGCTATTCTCAACTGCTTAAGTCACCCCCCAAAAGTATGCTGGCAACATTTAGTGCTTTCCAGTCTATTGTTGGTGATGAGGAAGAGTGTTGACAGAGCAGAAAATGAAAGGACAGAATTGGCTTTCTTAGGTTGAGAACAATGACTAAATTTTGCCTTCAGGAGGCAACTGAGGAAAGGAGAATTTTCTATGATTCTTGTAATCCTCTTGGAGAAAGTAAATGACAAAATCAGACTGTTCTCTGATGAGACTATTTTCAGTCTTTTCACAGTAGCCTGTGCTTCCTCTTCCTTGAGGCATAGTTAAACTCTTCAGGCTATTTTGAGCATTTTCATCAACCAGCACAAAATTCTTCTGCGTAGTTCTTCTCTTTACAAACTATGACAGTGCAGCCGCCAGGGCTTGTGACCTATCTTGTCTCAATGCTGAAGCCTTTTCTTTTCTAAAGGCTTGTTAAAGTGTCTGTATTTTAATTCTACAGGCAAAGCTCCCCCAAACCTGCCCCAAGGTGTACCGCCCTTGTTGCATAACCAGTATATTGTGGGACCTGGAGGACTTCTGCCTGCCTACCCAGTAAGCGATTTAATTGTTCCTGTCCTTGATTGCTTAACCCTTGGTACAAATGGGCCCTCCAGACCTGCTACTGTCTATGCCAAGGCAGTTCTGTTGGCACGTGTTGCACTTGGAATTCTTGTTCCAAATGCTGAAGAACGTATTAAATATATTCATTGGGGGGTTACTCTTGGCACTAAGCTGCAGAACTGTTGGTACGGACCCAATTTGGCTGCTGTTGAAGCTAAACATGTGTGTTGCTATGGTTTTCGGTGGTATCAGGTTTTATGCCCTTTGCGTAAAGACTCGTTCAGGTTTGAGTTACTGGATTAGATTTACTGTAGTAATGGTTGAAATGTGCTGTGTGTCCTATCTGTCATACTTTGAAAGATTGCACATATCGTGTTGACATCTGATCAGGATCAACATTTTTTTGGTTTTCTGTTTTTTGAATCAGAAACTTTATTCTAATCATCTTTCTCAATCGCACTGCTTGCAAGGGGATGCCGTAGGATGCCTTGTGGTCTAGTCATTAAATCTTAAATCCTGTTACTCTCAGAAGTAATGATTGTAGGAAAGGCGGCTGTTGCTCTTACTCCCAAAACTGAATGCCCTGTAGATTTTTCACAAGCTGATGAATGATGCATCTGGAAAAACAGTGTTGAAGATGAAACAGTCAAACTCTCCTCAGAGGACTGCTGTCACCAAGAAACAATGTCAGTGACAAGCCATTTTAAGCTTAGTTCTACTAGCCTTAAAATGCTTCGGTGAGCCATGATGGCACAATGCAACGCATAGCTGTACACCTTTAAAATAGACTGGGCCTAGGTCAAACTCTGTTTAAAGCCCCAAAATGGTCAGCATCAGAGAAAAGTGTTATAATAAATGTATTTTTATCTGTCTTTAAGCAGATTTATGGTTATGATGATCTCCAGATGCTCCAGTCCAGGCTGCCAATGGTAAGTAAATGGCTTGGCTTATTTAATTTTAATTAAGTTACCATCAGTGTTGATCATTTGCACAACAAATTGTTTCATTTGATGGTGATTAAGAGCTCGTCCTTATGTTCTATATTCTGTTTTTTTAAATACCCACAAACAATTTCTATAGGTGGTGTAAATTGATACAGAGCAAATGTTTCATCGTGCATTCCTCCATCTGCAAGTTCTGTAAATAGAAGCAAGTCTGCTCTGTGCTTTTGAGTGGAGAAAATTTTAATTCTTTTGGCAACAAAATGACATCTTGTCGAGTCTAGTTGAAATCTGAGAGTGAATGTTTTCTTATAGCAAGAGGTAGGGTTGAACAGCAGGTACACAAATTGGCAACCTGTAGGTGCATCTGACAGGTTTTGGAGGTGGAGATCTTTGTATATGCTTCACGGCAACAAATGCCAAGTGAATATTTGGGAGCAATTCTTGAAGACTCATTTGAACAAATGAGGGAGAGTACATGAAGTTTTCTTCCTTACCTGGATCCAGAAAGTAAATGGTGTGTAAGAGAGGCTGAGCTCCCAGATAGATTAACAAAGAGCCTCAGCCTAGATTGCAGTAAGGTAAAGAACTTTTTTTTTTTTTTTTCTTTTCAGAAAACTAGGGTAAAAATCTTGGAGAGAAAGTTTGGTAGTATGTAACTGAGAAAAGTCACAGGATTAAGTGATGCAGTGTATCCTTAGCGGCAGAAATGGAACAATGAGCAGTGATCTGGAAAATCTGGAAGGTATCATTGGATGAATGCCATAATTAAAGGTTCAAGTCAGTACCAGGTCTTGCATGTGGAGTCTGGGGACAGCCAGAGTCAGATAGTCAAAGTCATCCATTTTGTCTGGATGTCCCAGACAAAACCCTGTCCAGCTGCACGTACTGAACTAAAAAAAATAAAGTTGAGCGTAGTAATGAAGATTTTAGCCACCCGATAAAGGCATGATCCTTGGACAAATCGTTGACTGAAATAAATGGCATTCTTTGCAGAGCAGCAAAACAACAGAATACTTGTAGTTCTGGGGCCAGAAGAGACACGGTGTGTTGGGTTGATTCTGGCTGGATGCCAGGTGCCCACCAAGCCAATCTATCTCTCCCCCTCCTCAGCTGGAGAGGGGAGAGAAACACATATAATGAAAGAGTCATGGGTCAAGATAAGGGCAGGAAGATCACTCACCAATTACTGTCACGGGTAGAAGGTACTCATTTGGGGAAATTAATGTATTACCAACTAAATCAGAGTAGGGTAATGAGAAAAAAAACACCCAAATCTTAAAATCACTTTTCCCCACCTCTCCTGTCTTCCTAGGCCCAAATTCACTCCTGATTTTCTCTGCTTCCTCACCCCAAGTGGCACAGGGGGACAGGGAACGGGGGTTGCAGTCAGTTCAACACACATTGTCTCTGCCACTCCTTCCTCCTCAGGGGAGGACTCCTCACAGTTTTCCCCTGCTCCAGTGTGGGTCCCTCCCACGGGAGACAGTCCTCCACAAACTTCTCCAACATGGGTTCTTCCCGAGGGCAGCAGTTGTTCACAAACTGCTCCATTGTGGGTCGTTTCCATGGGGTGCAGTCCTTCAGGAGCAGACTGCTCCAGCGAAGGTCCGTCATGGGGCCACAGATCCTGCAGAAAATCTGCTCCAGTGTAGGCTCCTGTCTCTGTGGGGTCACAGGTCCTGCAAAGAGCCTGCTCCAGCATGGGCTCCACATAGGGTCCCAGACTCCTTCCGGCATCCGTCCGCTCCAGCGTGTGGTCCTCCATGGGCAGCAGGGGGACAGCCTGGCTCATGATGGTCTTCATCACAGGCTGCAGTGAAATCTCTACTACGGCTCCTGGAGCACATCCTCCCCCTCCTTCTGCACTGACCTTGACGTTTGCAGAGTTGGTTCTCTCTCTGGCTGCTGCTGTGCAGCAGTGTTTTCCCCCAGCCCACTCTTTGGTATGTTGCTATAGAGGAGCAACCACTGTGGCTGACGTGGTCAGCCTTAGCCAGCAGTGATACGTCTGGGAGCCGGCTGACATTGCCTCTGTTGACCATAGGTGAAACTTCTAGCAGCTCATCACAGAAACCACACCTCCAGTCCTCTTACTACCAAAGCCTTGCCACACAATCAATAAATACGGTTACACTGGTAGGAGACAAAATGTTTTCTTGGAGTGATGTTCAACTTGTTTCAGTCTCTGCTTCCTATATGTTGGCTGAATTCCTTAATGCTGTCACGACTAGAGTGCATTTTGCTGAGTAGATGTACCCCAGGCATACAGAGGCTGGAGGAGTACAGCAAGCCTCTTCATGGGAAGGTCTAGGTCAGATAAGCAAAAAGCTGCGCATTATTGGTATTATTTAAATGTAGTGACAGAAAATAGAAAAAAACAAATATGTAATACAGAATCAAAAATACCTACAGTAAAGCACATGCAGGACAAAATCTTTAAGGGGTCCATTAATTCCACGTGTGAGGCTAAACAAAAGAAAGTGTAAGGATTCATTTCTTGCACGTGTTGGCCTAGGAAACTTAGTGATGGGGACTGTAGTCTTATCAGGCAGGGTTGTGTTGTTGGGTGGTGTGCTTGGGGTGCTGGCTGGTGTGTGATGATTTGTCGTGCCTCGGGGCCGTGAGGGCAGGAGGTAGGCTGATGTTGGAGGTGTATGTGTGGAGCAACGTGGCGTGTTGGGGGAGCCCAGGTGGTGGTTGAAGGAGTTTTGCAGCGGCGCAAGGGGAGGTTTGAGGTGAAAAGTGCCTGAAGCGTCAAGAGTAACCCAAGGGAGCGTGATGCAAGGGATTGTCTGATGGAGTGGTTTGGGTTGGGCTGGGCGTTTTATGGAATTGCTCGAGTTGGAAGGGACCTCTAGAGATCATCTAGTCCAACTCCCCTGGTAGAGCAGGGTTGCCTTGAGCAGGTGGCTGAGGACTGCATCCAGGCGGGTGCTGGAAATCTGCAGAGAAGGGGACTCCAGCAGCTCCCTTAGCAGCCTCTTCCAGGGCTCTGTCACCCTCACCTCGCTGGGATGTTTTTCCTCATATTTGCATGGAACTTCTAAAGTTGCAGCTGGTGTCCATTGCCCCTCGTCCTTTCACTGGGCAGCCCTGAAAAGAGTCTGGCTCCATCCACCTTCAACCCACCCTTTAGATACTTGTAAGCATGAATAAGGTCTCCCCTCAGCCTTCTCTTGTCGAGGCTGAAGAGCCCCAGTTCTCTCAACCTTTCCTCGTAAGGGAGGTGCTCCAATTCGTCCATCATCATAGTTGCCCTACGCTGGACTCTTTTCAGTAGTTCCCCGTCCCTCTTGAACTGGGGAGCCCAGAACTGGACGCAGTATTTCAGTTGTGGCGTCACCAGTGCAGAGCAGAGGGGGAGAATGCCCTCCCTTGACCTCCTGGCCACACTCTTCCCGATGCAGCCCAGGATTCCCTTGGCCCTCTTGGCCACAAGGGCACATTGCTGGCTCATGGGTAGTTTCCTATGTACCAGGCGCCCCAGATCCTTGTCCTGAGAACTGCTTTGCAGCAGGTCCATCCCTACCCTATATCGATGCCTTTCAAGGTCATCTGGTGTCACCCCCCAGCAATGATCAGAGACCTGTTCAACTAGATGTGGCTCCTGAAAGCCCCCTGTGACCTGACCTTGACTGATTTGTGGGTTGGGGTACCTCCATCCTCTCTGAGCAGCCATTGTTTCACCAGCCTCATGGTCACGATGGCTTCGTTGTATGGGGCCTGCAGGTACCCTCTCTGGGTTGAAACCCGTTCCCCCTTGTGCTGTGGCTACAGTCACTACTCAAAAGTCCTAGAATCATCTAGGTTGGAAGGGACCTTCAAGATCCCATGTCCAACCGTCGACCTAACTCTGGCAAAAAACCCATCACTAAACTATGTCCCCCAGCGGCATCTTTCTTGGAAGCGCCGTGAAGTATTGAAAGGTGCAAGAAGGTGTCCGCAGAGCCTTCTCCTCTTCTCCCGGCTGAGGAAGGAAGGGCATGTCTCTGTCAGGCTGTGCCACGGGAGAGGTGTTGCATGGGGGTGATGGTGTTTGTGGCCCTGCTGTGGACCTGCTGCGAGAGGTGGGTGTTGTCCTTGTGCTGAGGCTTGCGGAGCTGCTGGTGAGTGCGTGTGGAGCCGGGTGTTGAGGTGGGAAGTGTTGAGGAGACAAGGGCAGCTGAGATGATGGTGGTGCAGCCAGCAGCAGCAAGCGTGGCCTCAGTTTTGGGAGGTGTGTGGTTGGTGAGGTGTGAAGGAGGAGAGCGGTGTCGGGCTGTGGAGAGCCCTGTTTGGAGCAGGGCTTGGAGTGGGTGTGGAGTGGAGGTGTCTTCCCCCCGGCCCAGAGCCCCCTTGGTGTGGCAAGCCTCTTCATGGGAAGGTCTAGGTCAGATAAGCAAAAAGCTGCGCATTATTGGTATTATTTAAATGTAGTGACAGAAAATAGAAAAAAACAAATATGTAATACAGAATCAAAAATACCTACAGTAAAGCAGATGGAGGACAAAATCTTTAAGGGGTCCATTAATTCCACGTGGGAGGCTAAACAAAAGAAAGTGTAAGGATTCATTTCTTGCACGTGTTGGCCTAGGAAACTTAGTGATGGGGACTGTAGTCTTATCAGGCAGGGTTGTGTTGTTGGGTGGTGTGCTTGGGGTGCTGGCTGGTGTGTGATGATTTGTCGTGCCTCGGGGCCGTGAGGGCAGGAGGTAGGCTGATGTTGGAGGTGTATGTGTGGAGCAACGTGGCGTGTTGGGGGAGCCCAGGTGGTGGTTGAAGGAGTTTTGCAGCGGCGCAAGGGGAGGTTTGAGGTGAAAAGTGCCTGAAGCGTCAAGAGTAACCCAAGGGAGCGTGATGCAAGGGATTGTCTGATGGAGTGGTTTGGGTTGGGCTGGGCGTTTTATGGAATTGCTCGAGTTGGAAGGGACCTCTAGAGATCATCTAGTCCAACTCCCCTGGTAGAGCAGGGTTGCCTTGAGCAGGTGGCTGAGGACTGCATCCAGGCGGGTGCTGGAAATCTGCAGAGAAGGGGACTCCAGCAGCTCCCTTAGCAG